ATGGTGACCTTATGGGACCTGTGTCCCGGTTCCTCGGGATGACCTTGATCATTAACTTTCGCTCAGATTCTCTTAGACCCTCATGCTACTGAAGAGTCAGGAGCTGGCAGTAAACCGCAGATTGTTGGGGTCACTGAACGGTCCACCCACAGATCTGTTTTGAAGCTTGAGTAGAAGACATTTCAGTCCCATTAAAGAAGAATTAGACAAACTGACAAATGCCTTTGCTGACCTGGTAACGTAGAAGAACACGAGGAGGAACATAAGGAGAGTTTCCAAGGGCTTTTGGAAGATTCCTGATCTTCTCATATGCACTCCAAGCCTCCATCTGGCATCCAGACTGCTCAGAGTGGTTTCATGCCTGTAGAATAATGTGTGGGATCTCATTTGGTATGTAGTGAGGGAAACAAACAAGCACGGCGAGCTGTTACAGTATTGAATCCCATATCTTTTTATTGCCTTTTGGTCATCTACAAAAATTAAAGTCAAGTAAGCAGTCCTACAGAAGTATATCCCCCCTTTTTTTGTGTTCCTCTGCCTATCCAGAATTTAAGGCATGACAAATTGTGCTTTTTCCCTCCATTTACATATTCTTTTCCTAAAAAAAAAAAAAAATCCAAACACTTCTTTGAGGTGATTTTACCATTGCCTCGGGCTCTATTACTGAACCCTCTCTCAGAGTTAAACACAGGTTGGATTTTGAATGACTGTCTTTTATAAGATTCACTGTGCTGTCAGGAGACTCATAAATTGTAAAAATAAAAAAAAAAGCTCCTATGTGGGGTTCCCATAGAAACCTTAGAGTGGAAGTTTTTCTTTTGTCTCAGTCTGAGCCAGCTCTACATGAGTAAGCTGTCATAAAGTTCTCATTCAAATCCATATTTGAAAGTGTTGTCAAAGTTTGGCTTTTTCTTACACAACTTCAAAACAACTTGATTCTGTGCTTTCATGCTTTGAGTGCAATGGATACAACCATTATTTCTGACCAGGATATCAGTGCTTGTGAAGTGTTCCCCAACTCGGCTTAATTATGTAAATAATTTTGGGAAGTAAACATAAAAAACAAGAATATTTATATTACACTAGTTTGATGAGAGTTTCTTTCTTTTTCTTTTCTAGATGCCAGTAAAGTTTTTTGACAGAAAAGTGGTTTTAAAAAAAAAGCTCTCCAGTGGCTATTAAAATGGCCATTAGGAATCACTTTAACTAATGCATCTGTAATGGAAACAAGATGGTCTTTGTCCTGAGAGTGTTTTTTTTGCTTCCATCATGTGTTGCAGCACGATGCTGCTGAAAAGATCTTCACTAATCTGCAGCTTTGTAATGACCAACAAATGTCCAGTAACCGCCAGCAGAGGCAGTTTGCAGTGTCCGACAGGCCTCAATTAGTCTGTTGGACAGACGGGACGGGCCAACCCCACTGCACGCTCTGTTTTGGCAGCAGTATCCTCGGCTCATTCTTTGCCCCCTACTGTGACTCTGGATGAGCCCATATGGGAATGGAGTTGTGTCTGGCACTTTCACGTTGGGGGTAAAGGTTCCTGTCTGCTGTGGTTATACACAACCCTTCAACTGCTGATGGAGCAAAGGTCTGCTGTTTTAAAGACGACACGTTGCACAAGGGAAAGCAAATCTGTTACTACATGTTATGTTTCATCTTTTTGCTTCATTTATATTTTTGTGTTTTTTTTATTAGGTTGATAATTCATTGAAACTTTCTACACATTACCTTTTTTGTTTTTAACGAGACCCTTGTAAACATGATGCGTAAAAAAACAAGTTGTTGGTCCAGTTATCCACGTCTAAACACATCCCACCGACAATAGCGCTGCACACATGCATTATGCCCGTCTGCACACTGGTTGTTGACTTTTGGCCGCGCGGCAGAGCAGAACACCTGTGTAATTCAGTTATAACCCAGAGCTGTGGAAGGGAACCCTATAATAGCAAAATCCCTTTAGCACACTAGTCTAATTGCATTATCCACGATACAGGCGTAATTGCGTACGCCATCTGATGCTCTGCACACTGGCTCTTGTCTTTTTTTGTTTTTTTGTTTTTTATTCCTCCCCCCAACTGTCTCCGTGGATGTCTCTAGCATGCACACATGGAGACGTTAACAGTTTTCACACTCTGTCCTGGAAGTCGAAATTTAATAATGAAAATGCAGGAAGGTTTCTCCCAGGTTTTAAAACTGAACGTTGGCTTTGTTCCCTCATTTTCTGCTGCTGCATATTCAGATATCATCTTTTTGTTTTTATTATTGTAGGAATAAGTGATTTAGGAATAAACATGATAATTTGACACTTATCTTTTAACAGCTACTATTTGTTTAAAGAATATAAAAGACACTTCCTCCAGCAGTAGATTGTCACAATTTCTTATCAGTGTCGCTGATTAAAGATATTCATTTATTCAAGTTGGTTTTCTGCTGTTTTGTGAAAATGTTGCAGTCAGTTTAAGAAAGTAAGACTTGCATGGTATTTTTGCAGTTATATTCTTAGTTCTAGTACTGCCCTTAGGTTTGTTTTATAAGCACCATAAGCTTCTTGCGGCTAGCAGGTTGCATTGTGGCATCCTTAGGTCCAAATGTGCTGTTGGTGCTGTGGTTAAAGAGTGGTAGTCACTTGGTGTTGCCTGCATACTCTGGCAATGATCCAACAGTTTTACGTAGCAGGCATCATTTCCCTATGCTCCCTTTATTGTGACTACAATAATCTTCTACCCATGACTTTTAGCTGTTGTAGAGGTTGAATGAAAACATAAATAACTGACTGGCTCCGCTTCAATTTGGGCGGGAGAAAATCATGATGATCATATCTGTTCTCGTTGCTCTGCAGCACAAGACCCTTCTTTTTCGGCAGATTTTATTGCGGCCCCATTTAGCCTGGAGGGAAGGTTTAAAAGCAATAAAGCCCAGAAGTATCTCCGTGCAGTATTGTGTTTGCGTAATGTCTGTTCGGGACATTTTTATAGCATTCATGTGATATAAGCTCATCAGCTCCCGCCTATACGTTTATTGACTGAACACAGCCTCCTATGTTTTCCAGTGGGATATTTGGTCAGAACAGGTAGGGCTTTAGGGCGGCACGGTGGTGTGGTGGTTAGCACTGTCGCCTCCCAGCAAGAGGGTTCTGGGTTCGAATCCCGGGGGAACCAGGGCCCTTCTGGGTGGAGTTTGCATGTTCTCCCTGTGTCTGCGTGGGTTCTCTCCGGGTTCTCCGGCTTCCTCCCACAGTCCAAAAACCTGCATGTTAGGTTGATTGGAGATTGGGGAAATTGCCCTTAGGAGTGAGTGTGAGTGTGAGTGGTTGTTTGTCCTTGTATGTCCTGTGTGTGGCCCTGCGATGGACTGGCGGACTGTCCAGGGTGTACCCTGCCTCTCGCCCGTTGACCACTGGGATAGGCTCCAGTTCCCCCCGCGACCCCATGAGGGAATAAGCGGTATTGCTAATGGATGGATGGATGGAGGTAGGGCTTTATGCTCTGTGCAGGCAGCACTGTCTCTGTGGATGCACACCGGATATTAGCCCCACAAGCCATCTCCCAGTGTGTCTCTCCTCCCCTCAACAACTTATGCATCCAGAGCAGACCCCTTGAGCCCCCCCCCCACCCACACTAAACCTTGTGTCGAGCCAAGTGAAATTTTGAAATGTAACTGTTCTGACAACACCTCTTTAATGAGTCCATATAGGGATATCAGAAATGAGCAGTAAAAGCGTGGGATTAAAACTCACTCTCGTAATAGAACCCATTTGAAAAAACAAAACAATTTGGGGAGTTCAGTTGGGGAAATGTTGACTTTTATCCACTCTAGTTTATAAAGGACTTAATGTTATAGCACTGCATTTTTTTTTTTTACATGGAAGGCTTCCTTCATGAACCGCTTTTATGGCTTTTAACATGTGCAAAAATACTTTCATAATGCTGACTTTGGACACTTGCTCTCCTCGAGGTTTTATTATGCCTTGGCCTTGGTGTATAAACAAGTGCTTACAAATGTCACAGTTTCATCAGGACACGCATTTCAGTTTCACCGTGTAATTAGATCCTATTTGGTTTGTATAGCATGGACCTGTGGTGTCATTTGAAACAAAAATGGCAGAACCTCCACTTGCATTTGCATTTTCATCACAAAACTGCCTGCCAAGCCTTGGTGGGCTCAGAAGCCCGTCTTCTCCCCTGAAAGGAGGGAGGCCCGCTCCCAGTGAAGAGTCCAGGGGGCTGCAGTACCCCTCCTGCCCCCACCACTTTCTGCACAGGCCAGAGCAGCAGACCCAGAGAGCAGTTGGGTCTGTGCTTCAGGCTGTGTGATTCTCTGCAGCAGCGTTATGTCACCTTGGTTCACCATCAGGGTTCATTCGTTACCTTTTTAGTCTCTGGGCTCTAAAACGGCTCATTAGACTTTAAAAGACTGCAGGGCTTACTCCAAGCCCTGCTTTAACCCCTCTTTTCTGAACACCAATATCTTCTTGCAATATTGTTTTTTTTCCCTCTCTATGTTGATTTTTCTGGTTTCAGTTTAAGAGCTCAGACCCAGTCGGTTGTGTTTGTGATTCTGATCACTCCAAACTGTGGATCACAGTTAATGGGGTTGGGGGGGTGATTTGGACCAAGGCCTTCCCTCATGGACACCCATGCTGAATAGAGAACACTGATGCTTCTCTATCCTGCTTCTTCCCCCCTCACTTGGTGTCTTTCCCTGGATTGTCCTCCCTTGAATGAGCCTTTTGAGGACTTCAGGCTGGCAGGCTGATATACAAATCCTTCCTCTTCTAGTTAAAGGGGCTGGTCCTTTAAGGTCTTTAGTCAGGTACTCACAACCTGCCAAGCTCAAACTGTAACTGTGAACTCACAACAAGAAACATCTTTTGTTGTTCGTATTGATTGTGGGAAACTCAAATGTAGCTCTTACTAATAAGGTCCATTCTGTTGTTGATTCTTTTTTTCCTTTTTTTTTTAAAATTCTGACTTGATTAACTCTCTCTATCTCTGTTAAGGGTGTACCACAGCTCCCTTGTGCCAAGGCGCTTTACAACTATGATGGCAAGGAACCAGGAGACCTCAAATTCACCAAGGGTGACATCATCATCTTGCGTCGGCAAGTGGATGAAAACTGGTACCACGGGGAAATGGGGGGAGTCCACGGGTTTTTCCCCACCAACTTCGTCCAGGTCATCAAGCCATTGCCGCAACCTCCGCCTCAATGCAAAGCCCTCTATGACTTTGAGCTCAAAGACAAAGAGGCTGACAAAGACTGCCTGCCCTTCTCTAAGGTGAGACGCAACAGCACTGAAGCCCCTTCTCGTCTGCCACATGGTCAGCATAGTGAAACAAAAATAGCTTTATGACAGTGACACTTTGTCTTCCACGCAGTCATTTTCCCAAGTTTTGTGTGTGTTAGAATGTCAGGGTTTGCGACTGAAACGCCCACACCAATGGTTTAGACTTTGACCCAGTCGTTTTGATGAGCAGCTGTAATTAGACTGAGGAGAATGAAGGCCGTATACAGCGAGGTGCGGCTTAACTATAGTGATTAAGCTGTTGTGTCTGTCCAGCTGTTTGCTTATGCTTTGATGTTTGTGCAAACTGCCATCACTTTGTCACTTGGGCATGAAACAGTAAGAAGCTTACTAAGTAGTTTTCCAAAAGGAAGACTCATTACCGAGATCTTAAAGTTTAAAAATAAATAAATAAATTGGATTTGGGTGTGTGCCGTCTCTGAAACTACAGTCACAAACTATTTATGTTTGGTTATTTTTGGTTCTTAGATAAGTGATATCCTTTTATTTATAAGGTTTCTTCAAATGCTTCCTTCTCGTTTTTTTAGGACGACATCCTGACAGTGATCCGAAGAGTAGATGAAAACTGGGCAGAGGGAATGCTGGGAGACAAAATTGGAATATTTCCTATCTCGTATGTGGAGGTAAGAAAGTAATAAAAAATTCCAAAATCTTTTAAAAGATCCCTTTCTTCTTTTGAATCTTTTATGTGTGTATTTTTCTGCTTTGAAATACTTGTTTCACTGAACCATTAAACGTGTAAAAATAGGCTCGCTTTAAAACTTTATTGATCATTAAGACAAAATTAAACAAAGCTATATACATAACTTCTATAGCAAATATATATATATATATACCCCTGAAATAGTCTCTCTTTCTGTTTTGAAATTGAAGTGCTAAGCGGTTTTAAAAGATAATACTGCACCACAAGCAGCAGCAGCCATGTTGAATGTTTTGCCATTCAGATGCTGTAAGATCTAACGTTTTAGGTGTGGCTAAATGGAACAGATGCGTGGGTGTCTACCCGCTATACAGTAAAATGTCATGACTATGCAGCGGGCCTTTAATTAAGTGAGGTAAAAGGCCTTCACCTGGTATATTGCTCTCAATATTACTTGTCAGTTTTCATGTGGTGACATTTCTGTGATGAAGCTGAATACTAAATTTAGGTTACATGCTCAGCTTTGTCCTGTGTAAACAGAAACTGCCTGGGGAAATGGATGACAGCAAGTAAGAACACCTTGTGATCAACTGAAATTGTAGCCTTAGTTTTTTTTTTAAGCCTAGAAGTTACATTCCTTGTAAGGGTTACAAATCTAGCTGTGAACCATTCAGTCCTGCAGAGTAAATGTATTTACGTGCACAATCCGAGCAGCTGCTGGTGTTTTTGTTGATTCAGGTGACTTTGAGGGCACACAAGCTACAAGATGGCCATCTTTATTAAACAGTCATTACCCAGTACACAGTCACTGTAGTCATGTGACAGTGAAATTCAGAGTCTCATCACAAAGATGGTTCATTTTTGTGTCTGCATATGTCCAGGTAAAGAATTTAGAGATATTTACTCTGCTCAGAATTTTGCCAGGCTTATAGAGCCCATTGTAGAGACAGTTTTGTTGTCGCCCCATCTCCATGTTCACGCCAAACCCCTTTCCTCTGAACAGTTTAACTCGGCAGCACGTCAGCTTATCGAGTTGGACAAGCCTTCGGACTCCAGTGGAGACTCTGGCGAGGGGGCCTCTCCGGGGCTCCAGAGCAACGGTGCCCGGGCTGGGGAGAAGAAGAACAGCAAGAAACGACATTCCTTCACATCTCTCACGATGTCCCACAAACCCATGTTAGCTCCTCCACCCCAGCGCCACTCCATGGAGATTAGCGGGCCAGTCCTCATTAGCTCCAGCAATCCCACAGCAGCTGCCCGAATTGGAGAGATCAGTGGGGGGCTTTCCTGCAGTGCACCTTCACAGGTAATATATGTGCCCATGTTTTGTCATAGGAGGTGACCCTTAAACTTTCAGCTATAAATTACAGATTAAACAGTCACTTCTGCCACTAGCCTGGAGTTATTTTGGAGATGACTCCTCTAACAAGCTAAGTTGTGTTTAAGTGCATAACTTAAAAAGATGTCACAGTACAAAGTTGTGCATATGGAAGGCAGATTTCAGCTTCAGATCGTTCTGTTTTCTCAAGATGTTCTTTTCTTTTAAAAGGCACCACTTCTGTCAGCAATTAGGCCGACTCCGCTTTCACCCTTGTACTATGAGGACTATCGCTTCATTCAAGCGTTTGAAATCATGGATGCGTGACTTGACTCATCTGCAAAAATGAGTCCAGCTTAGCTTTTGAGTCCCCACACCAAACCTGACATGAGAACCATTCACTGCAGCTCTGTGGTTGCCAGCCACTTGGGGTTGTGTTCTGCTTTGGCACTAGACATTAATGCGAAGAGACGGGCAGCTACACAAGACACATCTTTAGTCTGAGGCCATCTGTGATTCAAACTCTTAGCAGCTGGTAAAAGTAGAAAGCATGAGAAAATGAACCGAGTGAGTCACATTCATTTTCATTTAGAGGGGTTGTATTGGGATGAATGAGAACTGACGAGATTTACATATAGCTATTAAAGTCAATTATCTTTAAATATCAGTCTATTATTTATATGATTTATATTAATATTACGCTGTGTAGAAATGATAGGAATTCAGAAATAGTTTGTTTCCCCTACAACTTGTTAGCCATTATCAGTTGACCATTTCCTAACAGTCAGGACCAGAAAGGCTCACCGTAAGAGGAGGGTTGATCTGAAACAGCCATCTATGGAGTAGGTAGGTTACAGGAAGATATTGTGTGTCCAACAGTACGACCTTGTTGCCAGGACACCAATGCGACTTACGGGGATGACTGATTTGGTCACTGAAAGTCTTTCTATGTAGTCACCTGATCTCTTTTTGACCAATCAAATCATCAGAAGAGCCACGGACAGGGACACAAAGCTACATGTGTCCGGTGCTGCTCAGCATGTGTGGTTTAGAAATAGAGAGCGATTCTTACTGTAAAATTATTGTGCTGTCTAAGAATATCGCAGGTGATCATATGTGTGTTCGTATTGTAGATGTGGTTAAAGGGAGCACACGTTTATGTTCTCCATGAGTGAGAGAAACATACCCATTCTCATGGATTCAGACATTTCCCCTTTGTTTGCAGGTACATATTTGCACAACTGGACTTATTGTAACCCCACCCCCCAGTAGTCCTGTTACTACTGCCACAGTCTTCACATTTCCCTCAGAAACCAGCTACACATCCATCACTTTGGTAGGTGGAATCTTAATAAACTTTCAAACAAAGAATGAAGCATCTGTATGACAACGCAATAGTTGAGTGCTTTGTTCAAATGTGTTATTTACTGCTATGTAATGCATTACTATACTCAAAGAGGAGTTGGGCTGGTAACACTGCATGGGTGGAAAAAAAAGAAAAGGCGACAAATCTATTGTACACAGTGTCTGCAAGAATAAGGGAAAGACTCAACAAATTAATGCAGAGATGTCACTGGTTTTAATTGAACAGATGAGTTTTCATAATCTAGCATAGTGTTCAAAGTATTCCGTACAGATGTGCTATATGGTGATTTTCTCCATTAAGTCGTCAAAATTTTGCGCGAGAAAAAACAAAGAAAATCAGAACAAATGAAAGGTTCAAGAAACCCCTTCACAAAACAGCATGCAAACTTCCTGCCTGCCTATGCGAGAGCTCTGGTATGTGGAGTTTTTGAATGAGCAGGAATGTGTACACAAAAGCTTGAGCTCTCCGCTTCACTTGGGAACCCTACATGATGTTTTTGTACAGATGATTTCTCTAGCCTACAGCAACCTAATTATCTCAGCTCAAGCGTCGGCAGTGAACCAGAACGCACATGGACACTCACACATGCACATAGGCCCGAGCACATAACACAGGGCTGTCTGAGTGCCACTCTCCTCCCCCAGTATGTCATGGAAGCTATTACTCTGCTGCTCACTGCTGCCAATATTGAGCCCGGGACGGTCCTGGGCAGAGGAGTCAACACGCATAGTGTTCGTGCAAGTCCTACTTTTTCCACCCATTTGCATCCTTAGCATTTGTGTTCTCCTTGAAGCTCCTGGCGGCTATCGGCCTCAAGTCAAAAAGCTCCAGTTCCTCGCAGATGTTCGACAGCCAGTGAGTCAAGATGAATTCACTCATGGCTGGTTTTGTGGGTTGCTATGAAGTGTGCTCAAGAGACATGTTTTTCATTTCATATGTTCCCAATTAAGTACTGCAGTGGCTTTAACATGTAGCCATGTGGTTGCCTAGCAACAAATAAACAAGCAGAATAGGAGATTCTCGTAGTGAAGGGGAAGTCAGGGACAAGACTGCAGTGTCTGCCAAACCGCTCCCCCCAGTGCCGGCAAACTGGAGGGAATAACCCAAATGACAGATGAGCTCTCACTCTCTTTGTTGCTCATAAACAAACTGGTCTCTCTGCTTACGCAACTGAGACCCAAGCTCACGTTACTTCTTGTTTTTGTCCCTGTGCTGCTCGAGGAGAGGAGGAAAGAGACGAACTGCGGGAAAACTGTAATTGAACGCAGATCTTATCTTACCAGTTATGTGACTTTTTTTGTTCTCCCATCACAGGATGCTCTCCCTCCACCCCCGCCTCCTCCGCCACAGTCCTCTGTTAGCGGAGCGGCGTATTCCCTCGCCGCCGGACAGAGACCCTCCCCCAGCATAAGCGACCAAAGTAGCAGACAAAGACCCACAGTGTGAGTTATGACAACAGCGTCGCTCCAAAAATATGCGGTTGTCTTAAATGCGCAGTGAAATGTCACAAGCGGTTTGTCCTCTGATGGCCTGGGGGTCTGAACGCATATGCTTGGCTGACGGGGAAGAAGTCTCTGCACGTCTTTGCCACCCCCCTTTCAGATGTCAGTGTGTGCTTGCAGCGTGTGAGCTTGTGCACAGGTGAAGGGGTCAAAACTTTTGGGTGACAGTCTCCAGGGTCCCTTTGAGAGATGCTTTCTATCACCTCTGGCTTTCGACCCCCTCACCTTTACCCTCATTACTCCCCGAAGACGACTTGCACACCTGATACGTATTAGATCCACTGCTGCCCCCTCTGCTGCTGTCATCTGGGTCGGCCTGAGCAAGCACGTCAGGCTGATATATGTACGCTTCCTCCCCTGACGACACTGCCTGAAAACAAATCAGCCGAGACCTCCATTACAGGCCTGATCTTACAGAGCGACCTGCAAACAGAGGCCAGTTTAAGGACGCCGCCTCTGCCAGAGGTTCTCCGCTGAGATGACGACTGCTGGATAAAACCAGAACCAATACTGTATAGAAAAGCTGCTCTCCTTGAAGCAGTGGAAGCCCACCATGTCAGCTGATTGAATGTGTTTGTGATCGATGCAGCTATGTGGCGATGTTCCCGTACACTCCTCGCAAAGAGGATGAGCTGGAGCTCAGGAAGGGCGAGATGTTCCTGGTGCTGGAGCGCTGTCAGGACGGCTGGTTCAAGGGCACCTCCATGCACACCGGCAAGATTGGAGTCTTTCCGGGGAACTACATGAGCCCAGTCAGCAGGTCGGTTGCTAATTTACTGTCGGCTTCTTATTTTTAGCAACGCATTGTACATTTAGTGACACGCTCTGGTTTTCGAAGGTCATTTTGTCTGTGATGTGCAGTCACAACTCAGTACCTTCCCACTTTTTCTTTATCAAAGATTATGTTTTATTTTTGGTATGCTATTAGCTTTTGATTCCTCTTAGAAAGGTGTATGTATACTTTTACATCTACTTGTTTTCATTAATAATGTTCTAAATACATAAAGTTTAAAAACAGCTCTGTAATTCTGTACATGGATAGGCTTTTAGGAGGTAAAATCCAGCTCTTTGTGTAACGTTTCCCCTCAGGACAGTGTCTGGGAGCTCCCAGCCCAAAGTGCCCATGAGTCTTTGCACTCAGGCTGGCAGAGGAGTCACCATTGTGAGCCCTTCCTCTGCTCCCCTGGGGACCATTGTCCCGGGGCCCGACTTCAACAAACCCCTCACCGTGTGCTCCAGTGCCCTCCCAGCCAGCTCCCAGCCCGTGGCCGTGGTGGCCACCGCTCAGACGGCCACGGGCCAGCAGCCAAAGGTCCCGCTGCACGTCAGCTCCCAGATGACCGTCAATCAGGCTCGCAACGCAGTCAGAACAGGTACGCGCTCAAATGGCGGCCTCCCACCCGGAGAGGGCTCGCAGGTCTTAATTCTGCTCTGCGTTACTTTGGCAGCAGCGTGTCACAGTCAGGACCGGCCCACGGCGGCGGTGACCCCCATCCAGTCCGCCACCGCCGTGGCCTATCTGCCACACCTGGCCGTGTGCCCGCCGCCCTCTGCCAGCCCCGCCCAGGGCTGCGCCCGGGTGGGAGTGGCAATGAGCTGCGCCGCCGTCTCCCTGACTCCACCCAATGTGAGCGCCGCCTCTCTGGAGGGTGAAGTCCTCAGACCCGTGCCTGTCCTCGCCGTGCCGGTCGGCAACGCCGCCCTCAGCTCCTCATCCGGCAACGCAATGCTGGCCTGCAGACTGGACAAGGATGGCAAGGTGGGGTGTTTCCGGGTCAGAGAGCCTCTGAGCACGATTACATCTGTGTCCGGTTATCATGGCGGAGAATATCCTCCCTTATCGCAGATAGTTGAGCAGCTTTGTTGAATGCCGATTACTCAGACTCACCAGTGACCACTCACAGTTCTTCCTCTGTGGTCTGGCGGCTTCTCGCTTCTGGTTGTTTTCTCACATTTGGAACTGCGGCGTGCTTTTTTACAGAGAGAGAAGAAGAGCCTTCTGAAGCTGTTGTCCTCCAATAAGAAGAGGTCTCGTCCCTCGCCCCCCCCCTCTCCCACCCTGGAGTCGGAACAGTCTGCTGCAGCTGCAGAGGTGCTGCACGGGGCCGTGGGCCCTGACAGCTCCCCCCCCTCTGGCTCAGCCAGCTGCCTCGAGCCCGAACATGCTGCTGCTGCTTCATCATCTTCCTCCTCCTCCTCGGTACCGGAGTCCTCGCATCGGAAGAACAGCCCCCTTGACGGATGCGCCCCCATAGCCCCTCCTCCTCGCCAGCCCTGCTCCTCTCTTGTATCTCAGCAGCACGACGCCCGTCCCATCATATGCGAGAGGTGCAGTTCCCCGTCCCGCCGCTCCCCGTCTGTCCCGCGCACAGGAAGTGGAGCGGGACAGTGGTTTTTCTTTCTGCTGTCTCACCGTGCCTCCGGCTGTTCTCCCCCAGGTACAGGGTGGTGGTGTCGTACCCCCCGCAGAGCGAGGCCGAGCTGGAGCTTAAAGAGGGCGACATCGTGTTCGTCCACAGAAAGCGTGAGGACGGCTGGTTCAAAGGCACGCTGCAGAGGAACGGCAGGACGGGGCTGTTCCCCGGCAGCTTCGTCGACAGCATTTAACGCGCGCAGACACTCGCCCGCCGCCCGGACCCGGACCAGCTCCACCACCGACATTTAGGTCCTGAAAGAGGGGCACAGCAGAGGAGCGGAGGAGGAGAACAAGATACGCTGTGGCTGAAAGCACACTACTCATGAACTTTTTTCTTGGTTATTTATATCTTTGTAACAATCCAGCTGTTAAATGTGTGCCTTGTACTGTTCCCCACTTTATTGTACATAAGGACATAAATCCCATTAGTCCCAAAACAACCCATACAAACTGTTTAACGGTATGCTACACATTTTAACTTATTTCATATTGTTCTCGTTGTAGTTGAAAGGGTTAAGTAGAGCACACGCCTTATGTTGTGAACGACCCCACTTAGTTAGACCTTTGTCTGCTAGACTGCTGATCAGTTTTATCTTTACTTCTGACAGTCGGCACGTAGGAGTCAGCGTATCAGATGAAACTGTCCGGAACAAGTCACTTTGTGCTGCATAGTAGGGAAAAAGAAAAAGAAGTCCCACCCCCCTCCTGAACCAGAGGACCAGAACCGAGACCTGCTGTATTGCACATTCAAATACTCCAGAAGCTCCAAATCATAGAACGCTGCACCACTTAATACTTCTGTGCTGCGTTTAGGTTTTTCTGTTGGCTTTCCCTCAAAAGTATAGATGAGGCTGCAGTGTTGCATTTGCATGCGATGATTTCAGCCATCAGAAGGGGGGGGGACCATGGGCTCAGAGGGGTCTCAGGATCCCACAAACGCACTCCAAAACGGGCTTCGCGGTCAGATAATTGCGTCGTTTGTACCTTGTTTTTGCATTTACTCTCCAGAGAAGCTGCTCTCCCCAAAGCCTTTCCCCCCCCCCCCCCCCCCCCCCCCCCCACACACAGTAAGGCCTCTGGGGGCTCCGCTTTTGGACACTATAACTCATTCCTAATGTGACGCACTGCGAACGGAAGCACCAAACGTTTTTCCCCAAAGTAGCACCTCGCTGCATCACTCCACAGGGAAGAGCTGCGCAGAATCTCCATTTCTCTCCCTTCTTACCGTGAGCCCTTGATTTAGATTTATATGTACTCTCATTGATTTTTGTTAAACATTGTACTGACTTGAATTACCATAAGATTTCTTTGAGTTTTAGAGGGATTCGGGTGACACGTCTGGATTATGTCGTATCAAAGCACATAGTAGAGAAACGACTCCTCTGATCCTTAAAGCGTTCTGGCGAACAGGAGGGGGTCGGTCCCTGACTGTAAAGGTGGTGTTGATGTAGGTGTCGTCACAGACTGACCTCCTGCCCAGGAGGAGCTCGTAACGGTTCATGTGTTGGGACTGGTACGTCACGCGAGGTCCAAACACTTGGGGCAATCATTGACTCGTGCCAAAATTTGGCTTTTAGAATCAGGACCCAGAGCTTCAAGCACAGTTATTTTTTAAATTTCTTTAGCCTTCTGGTTGCGTATTGACGAGGACCACTGTGTAACTGACTGCTGGAATATGTTGTAACTTGTTTGAAATTTGGAGAACTTGCGGGAAAGGATGGTACAAATCACTGTTTGGGCCTTTTTTTCTTTTGTTTTTAGTCTTTTTTGAAAACTTTTTTTCTTTCCTGAATTGAATGAACCTGATGTTGCATTGTTGTCTTGGCAATTACCACACCGACCTGTGACTCTTTGCTGAAACGTCCCCTCGAGTGTCTTCATTTCACTACTAAGCCTTTAATATCACAAGTCAAATTAACTCCAACGCTGATAACCCACATTCATATTGACACACACCACGTCACAGCTTTTCTAATCTCACTGACCGCGTTTTCCACGCGTAGGCTGCACACTTTCCAACCATGAAGCAAGGTCTAGTCTCATCTGTCAAAAATAGACAATAACTTAACAGTTTTATACAGTTTTAACATATTTCCAAGATGCCAAGGTGACTTACTTGATTTTTGAGTTTTTTTGTTGTTTTTTTTGTGTCTTAGGATCTTAACCTTAAATGAAAATTGTGAATCTAAAATCAAACTATTCGGCACACATTTATCATGTGAAAAAATATTCTTAAGCATTTGAGGGAAACGCACATTTTGTTTAAAAAAAAAAAAAAAAAATCTAGAACAATAAAGGCAAACGGTTTCCACGTTGTGTCCACTGGTGCTCTTGTTTCCTCCTCTGGCCCGGTCCGTGCACGCTCTGCCTCACGGGGTCTACACACACGCCCGCTTCCAAACAAGAAGAGACTCGTTTGTTTTTTTCCTGTGATGTGTTTCGGGGGGGAGCTGTGCTCCACGTGGTCATTAGTGTCCGCCGGAAGGATCCTTGCACAGAGAGGTGAGCCTCCCCTGTGTGCTCAGCTGGGAAACACTGACAGGAACTGACAGGCCCCCACAGAGGTCATTGTGCTGCACGCAAAGCCTGCAGAGGACGGGTTACCATGGCAATAAGTTATTTCAACACACAAAGCGTGAGATCAGCCTGAAAATAAGGGCAATCAAAACAAGTGCATTTGGTGGACAATACACCCCGGCGGCCCTACTTTAAGACTGAGGCTCTGAGTTTGTTGCGGGAGCATTGTGGGCTGAAGCAGCCACAGGTCGGGCCGGCGTTTAAAAATAGGAAAGACTATTTGTACAGAATGCAGGTGGAAAAAAATATTCATAGCTGCAGGTGCTGTGCAGAGTTGAGCAACAAGCGCCTCGGGGCCAAGAAATCACAGTCGTCTTTAGGCAGGCAGCATGTGAGCTATCGAGTCTCGAAAAGATTCAGTTTTTGAGTTGTAGGCATTTGAACCTTTTCCCTGCACTTGTAGGTTTTCTGTATTTGTGAAGAGGCAGCAGTCATAAAGTGGAGGACTAACGGGAGACGTGACAGCCACCCCCTCACAGAAACCCACTAAACGAGGCCTGAACCAAGAGTGTGTGTGTGTATGATGAGGCACTTCAGGTCTGCTGGAGAGATGGTTGAGGTGATCTGAATACAGATCCCCTCCGGTGTGCGTGTGCTGCACCAGGCAGACGCAGTGAGCCGTGAGCGCGCTGGTAAACACCGACTGCACTGGTGGTGTTTGTCTGCAGCGCCGTGGCTGTGATCCAGTGGGCCCGGGGCCAGGGATGTGCTCTGCCAAAGGTTGGGAATGTTATTTAACCTCAGCAAATCAATCCGCTGTGTCCCGGTCTGATGGACGGTCCAGGTGTGGGCTGAGGGCCACCCAGCCTCATCATTTCTCATTTAAAAAGGCACTCCTGCCTCGTTACGCTGCTCCTGGTGAAATATGCAGTGCGGCATGAAACATAGGAAAACATAAGAAAATTAATGGCTGCATTTTTAAAATCAGTGTTCTGTGTTGTCACATGTAAGGCGCCTCTGAATGAAGGAATACAAAAGTAAAACTACAGTTTTTAAAAACATTTTTTATCAGTTTATGTGCAACACAACCTGAGGCACATTTCCTGTAAAGGAATGCCATAATAATGTAATAAACATTATGTGTATACTGTTTTATCCCGCGATTACTACTATAGTAAAGAGGTCTTGATCAGAATAGTTCTCATTGCTCACATTCTTTGCACCAGCTGGACGTCCTGAGGCTTTCAGCGCCGAACCTTTAAAAAACCCAAAAGAAGAACGTGGAACGGGCGCCCTCTAGCGGCGAACGCCGGGAAACGCAACACACAACAAACATGGCGGCGCCCTTTTCCTCACGCTAGTCTGACGGTCGCTTTTAGACCAAATAATTAAATTTCAAACGACGGTTGTAAGACGTGTTGTAACAAAGCGAAAACAAGGTAAGCTTGTCACTCAAAACTTAATCAAATATTTAGCTAGCAATGGTAATATTTAGCGACAGGGTCACCGGCTGCTGCTACGGTGAGTCCTCTGAGCGTTTCCCTTTCAGATAGTCTTAATTGTCTCCATATAGATAATTAACGGTGGACCAACGGAGAAGTGAAGTGAGCGTGTGTGTCTTTTCCTTCAGGGGCATGTCCAAGCTGGCGGTGGTGTGCGGGGGCTCCAGAGGCATCGGGAGAGCCGTGTCCCGGCTGCTGGCTGAGCGCGGCTGCCGGCTGGCCCTTCTCTCCCGGAACGAAGACGCAGCCCGGGCCGCCGTGGCCGCTCTGCACGGGGGTACGGGGCTTCACGTCTTCAATTCAATTAAATTAAATTTTATTTATATAGCGCCACATCACAACAACAGTTGTCTCACAGCGCTTTCCAAACAGAGCAGGTCAGACCCTACTCTGAAGATAATTACAGAAACCCAACAATTCCCACCATGAGCAAGCACTAGGCGACACAGGCAAGGAAAAACTTCCTTTTAACAGGCAGAAACCTCGAGCAGAACCATGGCTCGGGGTGGGCGGCCATCTGCCTCTGCCAGTTGGGGGTGAGGGGAAGAGAGGGCAAGAGAGAGAGAGAGGGCGAGAGAAGGACAGAGGGAGCAGAGAGAGGCAGCCAACACAGCAACACATAGACTAGATGAAAAATGGCAATGATATTAATACTAATGATGATGGTAGAAGTTATGACGGCAACAGAGCAGGAACACGTCTTATAGAGACTTTTAGCGTAACAAACCACCTCAAATCCATACATAGACACCCGTCAGGCACTGAACACTCTCCAATAAAAAACAAACAACAACCATAAACAGAGTTTCTGGGGCTGGGAAGCAGGTTGGTCTTGTTGCTTAGGAACCTAGATCATTCATTTATGGAAGCCATGCTTTTTCTGTTATGGTGTTATGAACTGCTCTACTCATGAACTGTTCCCACAAAAGCAGGATTGAACTGAAAAAGTTGGATGGGTGTTGTTTGCTGCCCTTTTTTTTGTTGCTTATTACGGCCAATGTGTTTCTTTTTAACCTCATCAACCACAAGACTGTTTTCCCAAAGTTAATCATATTTTTTAAATGTTCCTTTGCAACACTAAAATGTGTTTTGTTGAACCGAGGATGCAGGAGATTTTTTCTTCCGATGACTCATAATTGTGCAGGTAGCCTATCACTCATTTAACAACAGTTGAACAGTAAACCAAATTTGAAATCCTCAAACCTTAAGGAGGTCATTTGAAATAAGTGGGGGTTCTACCTTGCTTTTTTTTTTTTGTAGCAGTCGTCTCTTGTATTTATTTTCCTGACCTACCTTGACCACATCCGTTTCTGTTGGCTGCCATCTTTTTAATTACATTTAGTTACATATTGATAACTGATAACGCTCTGCTGTCCCCCTCTAGCCTTTCCTGCTTTGCGCTCATCAACCATTTCCATTTATAGAATCCCATGCAACAGCAAACAGCAAATATCAGAGTGGTAGGATGATAAATGCTGTTCGTTTTTGATTTAAAAAAAATAAAGCTTAAAACTTTGCCAATCCAAACAACATTTTGACTTCAACGAGCTGAAACTCACACATCCTTGTTTGTCGGGGGCTCTGAACTTTGGCGGAAGGATCCAAAAAACCAGTACACTATGTTGCATTTTAATGATGGTATCTTCTCTGAATGAACCGTTTTGTGTGTGTGTGTGTGTGCTCGCGTTTGCTTTTTAGCTGACCACGTGGCGTTCAGCTGCGATGTCTCCAAAGAGCAGGAGGTGCAGAAAACCTTTGAGAAAATCCAGAGTGCCTGTGGGAACATTTCTTACCTCGTGAACGCCGCTGGCATCAACAAGTGAGCACCGGCCGGCCGGACGGACCAAATAAAGTTGGATAAATTATGGCTTAATGGGAGTTGGTAGTTTTGGGTCTGATGTGTTTTTTTTTTTTTTTTCTTTTCTTTTTTAACTGTGTCCGATCCCTCAGGGACGCTCTGTTACTGAGGACCAGGTCGGAGGACATGCTGGCTCTGCTTCACACCAATCTGCTGGGCTCCATGCTGACGTGCAGGGCAGCGCTGCGCAGCATGCTGCACGCCCCGGGGGCCGCCATCGTCAACATAGGTGAGCCCTTCCGTCACTGGGTGGCAGTAGATGATAGTTCCACAGGAGCCCAGACCCATTTTTCCCTCAGTACAAATGATAGGGAATAGAAGACGGACCAAATAAACCCCATTTTCACATAAATATAATAATAAATTCAGGTACCACCCAAACAATTAAAGATCTGTGATTTCCTGATGTTCCATTGGCCATTTTTGATAAACATATTTTGGTTTAAGTGGGTTGTTGCACCTGTGCCACTGTGGGTTCTTATGGGAGTTGTAGAATTTTGGAAACACTACTCTGTCACCCATCCACCAAATTTGACTTTGGATTTCCGTTTATTGTATGTGAACGTTTTTTTAATTTTTATTTCTTTTTACATACGTGTCGCTCCGAGCGGTCGTAACAGATTTTGTGTTTGGTGTCTGCAGGTTCTGTCGTGGGCCTAAAAGGGAATGCGGGCCAGTGTGTTTACAGTGCCGGTAAAGCTGGTTTAGAGGGTTTCACTCGCTCGCTTGCCAAAGAAGTGGCTTCCCGGAACATCAGGGTGAATCTGTTGTGTCCTGGTGCAGAACATTTCCTCTTACTCTCTGTCTCTTCAGCTGCTGCCTTGAAAAAAAGAAGTAGCTAAAAATGGTTATCTCTGTCCTTGTCAACATACGGCTCCCTCTGTTTAGGGTTCGTGCGGACTGACCTGACCGGGGGGCTGAGGGAGGAGGACAGAGCGCGCTCCATCCCTCTGGGGAGGTTCGGCACTCCGGAGGAGGCAGCGCAGGCCGCCGTCTTCCTGCTGGAGGCCTCCTACGTGACGGGACAGGTGCTGGTGGTGGACGGAGGGCTGCAGCTGGCCATGTAGGGACCTGACCGGCCCCCGCTCGCTGGAGCCGTCGCGCCGCTCCAAACAACGTCGTCTCATTTGGGTCATGGAGGTTGAAGTGACCTGACACCATGCTTTATTTGACCGACGTGCACCGGACTGATGGTCAGATAGTGGTTTGTTCTTTTTCTTGTTTCCGATGAAATGCTGAGTGTTGTTGAGGTCTTTATTGTGGTCTTCAAACCAGCTGCGGGGGACACCAAGGCCCACGGCTGCCGGCAGGCTGCCTCTGCTCTTTGGCTTTGTGCTGAGTCAGCGCGCGCAGCAGCAGCCGGCGCGGCCCCCAGAACGCGCGTGACGGTCCGTCATGACTAACGCTGCTGACTCCAGAGTGTCTGGCCCCATCCAGACCCCCGTGCCCCGGGGTCCGAAATTTAATCAGCGAGTTTAACGCTATTGGACTGGATTTTTTTTCCATGACCCTCTGCTGATTGTAACGCTCGTGTTTTGCTTCCCCGCTTTTCTCTCGGGAGACCCCCTCACGGCCGAAACATGTCCCCCCCCCCACTCCACCAACCCCCTGGTCCAGCTTCTAATGGAGGCTGTGCTGGGAGCCAGCAGCTGGAGGAAATTAGAGGTGGAGGTGAGGGGGGTGTATTTTTAGCTTGGGGAATGCTTTGAGTGTCTGGTTACAGCTCAGGACCTAGCTGTGGATGGATGAGGTTGGAGACGATAAGATGGAAAAAGCTGTGATGCCCTTTCCTTTCATTACAATGCGTGTTTTGTCATAGATAATTGGAATAAATCTGCCTTTCTGAGAACAACTTTGTGCGTTCTCTGATGTCCTGAGCCGTGTACCTTGTGTTCTACCGAAGGACGGCGAGAACTGGGAGTTCTCTATGGTTAGCCTTTTAATGTTTTACTAGAAGCCCGCCAGATTATTAACACATTTCACACTGCTTCTGAAGAGATTGACTTTTATTAAAGTTCGTAACCTAAAACATCAGCAGAACAGTCCATATACAAGAACTAATTGGCATAGAAATGTGCAAACGCCGAGTCAGCTGTTGCAAGCTCTGAACAGAGAAATGTCCACTTTGTAAAGGGTTACAGAGGAGACAAAAATTGCAGATATAAATATTTTTTTTTTTTCCTTTCAACATTTTTTTAAACTACTTTTCATTTTTATTAGCCCTGAATACTGAGAAACAAATTGTGTTTTTATAAATCCTGATAAAAGCTGTTTGGCACTGTACGAGTGTCCAAAAATAACATGCAAAGTGATTTAAGGCAGTAAATATATTTATAAAACTTCATCATCCAGGCAGTTTTGTCGGTGAAAAGAAAGTTACAGATATAATTTACGTCATGGTTGCTGGGAAAGTAAATAGTCCTTTTTTTATACAAAAATAAAATGGACAATCTGTATTGTGTGTGAGAGATACACGAAACCCGTCACAGCACCCTCTCTTGAGTGAGAACATTGAAATTCACACTGAAAAAAAACTTCAAAAGAAACTGCCAAAGAAGCAGAAAAGGGAAGAAAAAAAAAAGTCACTAAAATATACCGCCGTCACTAAAGTTTGTCACGTCTTTGCCACCGTCACGTCTGTCAGGCGTCCTCACACACATGCGCTCGCATCCCTCTGCAGACCTGCTTTTCCCCTTCCTCACTGTCCGGCTTCATCAAACGCTCTCACTTCAGCAAATCGCAATCCTTTTTTTTCTTTTAAATCAAACTTGTTTCTTCTGCTTAAAAAAAGGAAAATACATTTCGATAGGCCCTGCCTCTTCCAGTATTTCTATCTATGAACTGACCACACTGAGACTGGATGACTCTCCTAACTACAGACCAACTCTTGACATTAGCTTTGTGCTACACAAGTCTCTAGTGATACATGGATGCTATTTGGAGTCTCTTCTCTGCACGTGTCTGGTGAGAAGTGCTATCTACAGATGCGGCTTAAAGTGGGTGTGCTGTAAATGGCATCATTTAAAAAATGTACAGTAATTCTGCGTTTCATTGTAAAACCTGTTTTGTATCTTAACAGAAACAAGAGGCACTTTAACGGGTTTGCAAATTAACAGTTTTCTCTCTCAATATAAGGCCCCCCAGTCATCGTCTGCCACAACTTGGTGAATTCTGTACTATAGTGAGTTGTGAAATGGGTCTATAAAAGATGAAACCCGCCACTGCACCATCTTTCTCAGCCCACTGAGGCTTTGCTTGTGTCTGAGGTTCAGCGGTGGCGTTGCCCTTCCTCACCGTCTTTTCAGAGTGTGTCACGGGGGTGTGCAGGGATCAAGGGCGGCTTTTGGGGCTTTTTCTGGGGTTGGCGGGGCAAATCCCAGGCGGCCTTTACAGGTCATCGCTCTCCACCAGGCCGCCGGGCTGCAGCGGGCTGGAGTCGGGGAAGAAGGCCGCCTTCACGTCCAGCCCCCTCTCCGTCAGCGCAGCGTAGCGGCTGGTGGAGGGACGCACTTTTTTGGGCTTGGGGAGATTCGGCTGCTGCCACTGAGCTGAGGAAGGAAGTTGGAGGGTTCAATGTTTTGCACGGAATGGGGTAAAAAAAAACAAAAGATAGGTTCAATGTTTGGAGTGGAGGTTTAGACTTACTGTGGACGTCCAGCCGGGCTGTGCTGGACACGATGCCGGCGTCGTTCTTGGCTGAGACCGTGTACCAGCCAGCATCTTCTTTCAGAGCTGGCTGGATGATCATACACAGGTAGCCACAGTTGTCCTGGTGCATGCTGGGAATGAGCATTGAGACTTTAAGTTTATGTTTAATCTACTTTTTAAATGGTGAAGTTGTTACTTTTGCTGTTGGTCAGTTATTTATTCTTTTGTGTTTACCTGATTCTGTCTGTGTTGTGAGTGAATGACTCGTTCTCCCTCTTCCAGAAGATCTGTGGGTAGGGAACCCCTGTGACCCGGCACTCCAGTCGCACAGGGTGACCCTCGGCCACGCTCGTGTTCTGCAGCTTCTCGATAAACGAGGGGGCCTTGTGCATCTCTTTGGCTGAGGAAAGAGTTCATCACTGAGTTGCATTGTGAAAGTAACCCCCCCTCCCCCTTAGCTCGCAGCCCGCACGCTTCCATTTACCCGCGACGATGAGCTCCAGGTTGAAGGAGTTCTGGCCGGCTCTGTTGCTGGCGATGCAGGTGTAGATGCCCGCATCGCGGCTGGTCACAGGCTCGATGACCAGAGAATGCACGCCGTTCTCCCTCACCAGCATCTTGTGGGCGGAGTCAGGACGGATGGTCTGTCCATTCAGCTGCCAGATAAGGTCAGGGGTTGGCAAGCCACTAACCTGTAGGGGCCAAAAAAAAACAAACTCACATTTTGCTTAATGTATTAATCTTCGTTCAGACCTTTAAGTTAAGTTAAGCTTGCTCTGGGTGAAAATAATTCTGTTGCATTTCCTCTCATGGGGCAAAAAGTGTTTATTGAGAGAATGAAAACCAGCTCTGTTTGTCCAGAAGAGCCTGCTTCGCCTGCATGCTTTGTCATGGGAACAAACCAGAGAGAGGAAAAATTTGTCTCCCTTTGCAGAAAGACAACACCTGCTCAGCTGGGCCCTGCCCACCTGGACAATGTGAGACTTTGGACACCTGTATGTTTATGTTCCAGTCCCGAGCGCTCCACGGTATTCACCAAAAGGAGCAGAGTCTGAGAACTAATAGTCGGTTCTGGACGGGAGCCGACTAGATGTTTAGAAGGCAAGATGTTTCAGGAATGGAAAGTTCAGAAAGCCACAAACAACCAGTAAATAAATATTTGCTATATATATCACTGACACGACAGGCACCAAAGGAATGGAGCCTAAGACTGGTTTAAAAAGACACTCTTTTTTATAGTGAGTTAATTGTGGGTCTCTCTTACTTTTTTATTACATGAACCAGCCTTAAAGTAGTTCATAAGAGCTGCCTGGAGGTGAGCTGAAGACAGAGTGAATAAAAGAAGAAAACGAGCATGAGGGGTGTGGGTGAGGAAAAGAACCTGATCCTACTCAATCCCTGAAAAATAACACATGTGAACTCCGTCTGTCTGCTGAGTGGCTCACAAGGCCACAAAGCCATGAAACATCTCGTCTCTGATGCTTTTTTTGTTTTTTGTTTTTTTTATATTCCCTGAAGAAACTGGAATGCATGGAAAGGCAAAATGTGTCTTTGGCAACGTCGACACGCAGCCTCACTGAAAGCAGTCCAGACAGTGAATTAAAGGGTGGATTTGAAATGGCTTTCTGTATTACTATGATTAACATATTGTCTTTGGTGAGGGCTTATTCCTCTCCAGTCATGTCTCAAGAGCATCTCGCCCTCCTTACTTTATCAAATACAAACCCATTAAAGCAGTTATTGAACTAAACTCTCACAGAGCTTTTAACAACTAATGTGTTTAAATATGCAAGTTGTGTAGATTCTTATCCGTTAAACCTGTTTGGTGCTAAATACTATATCCTGATTCATTTGGATTAATTTAAAATAATCCCAATATTTATCTAAATGTTTCAGATCTTTGATCTGTGTTGCTTTATTAGGCTTTATTAGGCCTTCCCTCTATAGTTCACTAAGGCTTGACATCACTAGACAGTTACAGTTCTGTTAACCCTTATCGACACAGAGCAGCTGTTTGAAACAGACACAGCAGTGTTGCTGTGATTTCCCTTCTCCTCTTTTATCGACGACGCACACTTGTTTGTTGGTTCCAGTTGCACCAGAGGTGTGTGTTTACCTTGCAGTCCATCCGGCACAGGCGGCCCTCCTGGACGATGAGGTCGCCAGGCGCCTGCAGGAAGTGGGGACGGAAGTGACGCTCTTGGATGTTATCGTTCTCGTCACCGCTGTCTCTAGACCTGGACCTGGGCCTGACCAAATGAGCAAAAACAACATTAGATAGGAAAATAATTGAATCACCAGATATATATATATTTTGTTTTGTTTGGGAGGGGTGTTTTTCACTTCACCCCTGACCAGTTTTGAACGTATTATTTCCAAATATGGAATCCTCTTAAATACATTCTCGTTTTTATGCGATGAATCCCCAAGCTCTCGCTGGCTGGACATTTCAGTGACAGTGAAACCCTCAGAAAGCATCATCTCTTCTCTCCCCAGCAGATCTCCCCTCTCTGAGACTTGATGTCAACCTTCCACATCCTCCTGTGTTTAACCCTGCTCTGCGGGTCAGGACCCAGAGGTGCTTTTCTGAATCTTCCCAACAACAACACTGACATCATCGCCCCTCATGCACATCACCCAAGAATGGAAATAAAAAGAGTGGGAGACACCGATTGTTATCTCATCTCTTCTTACTCAAAACATCTCTGAGCTTTTTATCTAATCAGGGCGTGTTCATCTTGATAACAGCTTACAGGTGGTTTTTATGTCCTTTATGATGCCAAAGGAGTGCACGTGATCATCTGGCCTTGCTTGACTGCAAACTGTATATAGAAGGTCATTAGAGCAATGAAAAGCAGAACAGAACAAACAGGTGTTCCCTCTCATTAACACTCTGTTTTTCTTCCTTGAACAGACAGTTAAAGAACAAAGCGGGATTCAGCTCATGGCTAACATTTGCGTAAATAGAGCCCTCTTGGAACGTTTTCCACTCGGATCTGTGCGGAAATGTGGAGCAACCGCAGAAGTCGAGCAGATGGCGAGCAGCCTGCAACACATGTGCCCGGCCTGCACCTGGGGCCCTGACTAAGATACCGTAAGATTTAGCCTGTCTGCGCTCCGTCCGCTGTTGCTCGGCAGGGCCTCACCTGCGCATGTGGCCGGGGGCCGATCGCTGACTGCGGCCTCGCTGGTTGACCGCCTGGACCATCATCCGGCCGGTGCAGCTCACCCTGCCCTGTGAGGGGAGGACCGGAGAGAGGCAGCGCATTAGGTGGTGACACGCCACATGTGGCAGGAAGCAACATGTCAGCTTTGGAGCAGCTAGACAGCCTGTACAGTATGAACTCTTGACCCCTCTGGGGGTTGTTAGTGGTTTCCTGCCTCACTGGACGCCCCCTTCCTCCTCAGGGTAGAGAACATTATCTCTGGACACATTTTTCTCCTGATAAAGAGGGCAGCCGACTCCCGCTGCCTCCCGCTGCCTCGTATTCCCCCACTGTTGGACTTTACCTCTGGGTTTCCTGCCAGGATGGTGTAGTTGCCGTCATCGTCCAGAGAGGCTGCGGCAGTATGCAGAGAGCAGGTTCCATCGGGGTCTCTGCTGATCCTGTAGTGCTCACTCCTCTTGGAGATCTGCTTGCCATCTTTAAACCAGTAAACCTGGTGTTTGAAATATTTAAAAGCCATTGAAACTAGAGGCAAAATTACACATCAGGCTCACTAGATGGTGAGCCTGAAAATGATTATTTTCTTCATAATATTCTATGGCTCTTTATGGGGTTTATCTGTTCTCTTTTTTTAATATTCCATCATGAAACCTGTCATCACCTCGTCATAAATGTGTACAGAGCCAGATAGCCTGCCCAGGCCTGTGTGTGTTCTTGCAAAAGACCTCTCCTTATCACCAAACAGGGCTTATGAGCAATATCTATACCCTCCATCATCAACATCACACATCAGCAGCTGCCCTAGCAAAGCCATCAAACATGTTTCAGAAAATACACAAGGCTGATCTAATAATAACAATCACTGGCTTTTATCATTTTGGGGTGTTGACTTTTCCCAGTAAACCCACTCACCTTTGGTTTGGGATCTCCTTTAACCTTGCAGGAGAATGTGACCGGCATGCCCTCAAACACCTTGTAGTGTTTTAGCTTCTGGTCGAAGGAGGGATGAACTCCTCGTCCGGCAGAGTCTTCGTCGTGCTGCACGTCGTCGTCCGACTCCTCCACTGGAGAACGCTCCAGACGGAATTCAATCTCGCTGATCAAGCGCTGCTCAAAGCTGGAGACTTTGTACTCCTGAAAGCCGGAGAAAATGGAAGATTTAGAGGGAAGGCTAAGGACAAAGTGAGAAGAGTGGGAGGGATGACGCAGTCATGGCAAGCCAATTTTAGAGTCAAAATTCTGTTCTTCCAAACTCAGAAACCGGCCCTAAATATCTCATAAACTACCGACTTTCTTCCAATTTTCTAATTTTCTTTCCCCAGATGGGCCACTCCTCCTTCCCACCATCTCCATCAATCTCTCGTCACTGGGTGAAGGCAGCAGGGAACATCTGCAGAGCAGCCCGGTCTGATGACACAGCCCACAGATAATGACAGGCCCCGGGCACAGCTGCAGAGCCAGCGTTTATTCTCCTGAACTAACTCGGGTGCTCAGAGCAACAGCAGTCACAAGGAAGCGGCCCGTTCTTATCTGTGGAGTTAATTGTCCTGAAGCAGGTTCCTTTTAGGAAACCTTTTCAAGTATACTTGTGTCCGTTGTTGAGGACACCGTAAAGACATTTACTAATTCTCTACTTTGGTGACTAATGCTGAGGATGCGAGCTGTGAGGCATGCTTCTGAAGTCATTCGGACTAAATGACGACACACAGTGAAAGGTAGAGATTTACACACACATGAGAAACACTGTGAACTTCTAAGCTTCTTTAGGATTTCAGGAACCTGTCAAATAAACACAACGTGTTTGCAGGTTAAAACAAATTCTGTAAAGTTCCCTTTTGTTAGCCACTTATTATAACAATCAAATAATTCTTACATCAGCTCAAGTCTGAGACTTAAGTGTGACTACGTGCTTCCAACTACACTCTCTGACATTTTACTTGAGTGGGTAAAAAACTTTATTTTAAAAAGCCACAGGTGTCAGAAATAGAAAAACAACCTTTTGAGGACATGTTTCTGCATCAGATGACTTGTCTTCCTGTCGGGAGGGAAAAGAAATGTTTGTTGGTGCTTTATGCTGCCGTGTATCACTCACGTGGGAATGACATGTTCTAGAGGGTGTGTTGTGGCACACTTTAGTGGAGGTGATGCATTGACTGACTTAAGAGTTGTGGTCAGAGCTCTGAACAGTGGTGTTACTCCCCATGCAAAGAGGCATCAGTACACAGCACGCGTGTGGTTTGGTGATGACAGCACAAACTATGCATATAGTATTAAGATCATTTGCTCTTCCCAGGAAAGAACAGCTCAAGCCGCTATGAGAGGAGGTGATATGTTTGTGCACTTCCACGGAACTGCTTGGTGGAGCTCGGACTTATGATCACATCGACTCAGTTTGGAGTTTCTCCTCAGTCAGTTTGCACTGGTTCCCTTGCTGTTTGTATAAACAGAGCTTTTTATGGTGGGCCCCTGCGGACTTGGCAGTATTTACACCTTGCTTTCGTGATGTGCTCTTCCAGAGTGTTTACAGTGGCTCAGGGTGGGGCTGTACTCAGCGGGACACAAAGGAAAGTGATCATATGATAAGAATGACATCAGTGGCGTGTTGGTACATTAGACTGACAAGCACTCATGTCACATGCAGTTCATGCAACAGAGGGATGAAAAACACTGCCAGTGTGGACGCGTTGGTGGAGTGTGTCCATGCTCCTGTGATTTCAGGGTTCTGTGTGTGATGTTTCTAATGAAGAGCCACCATACCTGTGTGACTGGCTCCTCCTCTGTATCCTGTGTGTTTAAGACTGTGGCAGCGTTGTCAGCCCCCAGCAGCCTGCGAGCCATCTTCTCCTCATAGGTTAACCTCTGGAAGCATTGATTAATGGGGTCAGTGCGGGTTAGTGTGTCAGTGGCACAAAACACAAGCTTTTCACACCTTAACCTTGGCGCTGCATCATAACGTCAATGTTAAAATATTTGAGTTGATTTAAGGCTGCACAAAATGGACGGTTCTTTGAAAAATTCCCTTAAAAAAAAACACTTTTTCCTTCACGGATAGTTTCTTGTTAATCTGTGTTAATGACTGCAACTGAACTGAGAGGAGAACACACACAGATTAAAAACCCACCTGTTGGCCATTGCTTATGCGCTCCTCTTTAAAGCGCAGTTTTCTCTCCAAATCCTGGATAACTGCATCCTTAGATCCCTGGATGTCTGAGTCAGAGGCAATGCGAGGCGTCTTGGTGACCGAGGACTTCCTGGGGAAGGCTTTGCTGAAAGAAAAAATAAAAAACTAAACCTTAAGGTCACAACTCTTTGCTTCTCTGCATTGCACGCCAACACACACGCGCGCATTCAAGTTTTCTCCCCCTCCATGTTTCTCTGGACATATCCAGCTATTGGATTCCACAACGTGGCTTCTTATCTCTCTCTACGACCACAGCAGGAATGCCAGGGTGAGAGGGGGAGTGCAGGAGTGAGTTAGGGGCTGATGAAAAGTAAATGGCAAAGAGCTGAAGGAGGAATGTCCATGCTGCAGGGAAAGAAGTCCATTTCTGCCTCAAGGGCAGCCATCAGAAGAGGATCACCTACATGGCAGATTCTTATCCACTAATTTGATACGCCAAGCTCAGAATGAAAATATGCTATCAGATGGATGATCACTCAAGCGATAGCTCTTAAGAGAGCGACGCCAACTCGGTTGAGCACGTATGCTAACATGTGTAAATGTTGATTTGATTTGGAAACACCTCTCACTCTGAGGTCATGCTGTTTATTGTCTTGCCATATGGGGGCTTATACCTTCAGAACACTTTTCTATGCGTGTGTGTGGGACTGTGTGGCCTCTCTGGGTAGCATTTCCCCGTAAACATGCCGCATAAAAATGTAAACATGTCATTTTCTCTTTGGCTGCGGACGGTTTGTTCTCCAGTTGCCGGCAGATTTGCGTTAAGGAAAGCTCCACCGCGCTGGTGTGATGCTGTTCACCAGGGGCTTGCACAACTCAGAAACTTGACACGTGACTCTGCAAAGAAAGCTGTGTGCGTGTGTGTGTGTGCGTGCCTGTGTGAGGTCCACTTACACAGTGCCGTTCCCCTTAGGGAGGCCCAGCGAGTTAACCGTAGGACTGCCAGGTGAAGAGGGCGATGAGGGCAACACCGAGGTCAAGAAGCTGGTGGCAGGAGATGGAGGAACAGAGGAAAAGGGAGAGGACATATCCGAGTAGGCTGGAGACACAGGGACAGGTGGGGGGGGAGGAGGGGGTGGAGGGGGGAAGTCTTGGGCGGAACCCGATGGAGAGGACAGGTTGCTGGGGCTCAGGAAGGGTGGAGGTGGAGGAGGGAAGGAAGGAGAGGTCGGAGATTCCACGCTGCCAGTCTTACTGAACGGCGGCAAGGTGACTCTGTTGACGGGTTTGTGGGAGGTGGGGGGAGAGAGAGGGGAGGACAGGCTGGAGCCAGAGGAGCCGGAGGACTGGGTGAGGAAGCCCGTCCCGCCGGGGCTCTGGGCAGCAATGAACTGCTTGGGGCGGGCGTAGTTGAATGTGCTGGCCTGCATGGCTGTGCTGCTCTCCAACTCCTGGAAGGAGGGAGGAGGAGGGAGAGGCGGAGATGGTGGCGGAGGTGGAGGTGCTTCCTGAAGGGGTGGCTCAGGTGGAGGTGGAATTTCCTGGTTTTGCTGCTCCTGCTGTCGCCGCTGCCAATTGGCTGCTTCCTGTTGCTCCAACAGAATCTGGTCCTGCAGCTGCTTCAGCTGGGACGCGTTCCTGTGGAGTGAGGGGAAAGAAATCATTGCATAAATTCAGTCAGTCCCCTCTTTCCAGTTTTTCTTAGTTTGGAGGGCAACGTCAACAAGGTAAACAGTACAAATGCTAAACCACCATGCTTCTGTTTTCAGTTTTTGACCAAAACAACTCCAACTACAGTCAGACTGCAACTGACAGAAGGGGATTCCAGATGTGAGCTTAATACATGGATCCTATCCACGTTGGACGTTGGAGTGATGTAAAAAAAAAAAGAAAACAAGTTTGAAAACTGTTAAGGAAGTAAAGGACAGTTTTGAGCACAAAAAGTAGTACATGCACAGCTTCCAGAGGAAACTGCTGTATGAGCAGTTTGGACTGATAGTTTATCAGCCTTTGACCAAGACCAAAAAAAGCCAGCCTGCTGACAGTACTGCCAGTGTGCTGCAGGAAAGGTTGCAGAAGTGATACTGTAAACTGGCCTGATACAGAGTCGCTGTTGCTTGTTTGAAATAACTTAAATAATAAAGCAGTTACGCCATTTTAGACCAGTGAGATCAGACTGGCTTTTTCAGAATGGGGGCCCTTGAGTGGTAGGACTTTAAAAAAACAAAAAACTCAAATAAATATATGCTTTTGAGCAACGTGACATTTAAACTTGCCTCTAATAGACTTCCAGATTGAAACGTAGAATGTATGAATGGGGAAAATGTAGCCAAAAAGAGAACAAACAATTAACTCAAAGAGGCTTTCTATGAGGATCAAGGAGAAGTTGTTGGTCTTCCTGTAAGGTTTCAGACCTTATAAATCTTTAAGGATGTACAGCTATGCGAATGTGAGACTGATGAGTTCCGCGCTGCTCAGAAGATACTGTACATCCCAGCGGTGAGTGCTGTCCAAAGTCCAGAAAGTTCATGTGTTCAAATCTTTTCCAGATGTTGAATAATCAGTGGAGGTTTTTTTCTTCTTTTTCTGTGACCGTGCAGAGACAACTCTTCCCCTTCAGGTTCCCACTGGTGTAAACTTACAAACCAGGACAGTGAGTATGTGTCAAAACTGGCGGCTGTAGCATCAGGTTACAAAAAAAATAAAAGAGATTAGTTCCCTTGAAAAGGCAGCCTACAGACACACACAAATAGGCAGTCATTCAAAAGCACCTATTGCTTTTATTTTGATCTCTCCCCCACCTGGATCTCTCCTTACAGAGCTCACCAACTTGCAGAAGCACACAATCCATCCAACACCTCTCCCTCTGTGTATACATTTTCCTTTACATTCCCCAAAGGTCTCACGTTCAGACCTACACCAAAAGAGTGCTTTTACAGGAATAGTTTGGCAGCTCCTCAGGCTTGCAGCGCTCTGTGGCCGTTTGATTCCTTTTTTGGCTGTGTTCTCGGAGGCAGAAGCACCCTGCCCGTCTGCTCCGGCAGAAAGGAAACACACTTAATTTCCTCACAGCCTCATCTGTCTCTCCCTCTCTCTCTTCCACAACATGTGTTACAGGCTCGATAGGAGAGACCGCGGCGGCCTCCTCAGCAGCAGCCCTTGTTTTCCCTCCCCCAGTGTGTTACTTTTAATGCACAAGAGTGAGTTAGTACCGTAGATGTCATCTGCACCTTAAAAGGCATTCTATAATTCTGCTAGAAAGTAAGAGCTGGGACAAGCTTTGCTTATTGCACGGAAAAAGCTCTGATGTTATGAAACCCATGGTGAGTAGCTGATGATGCAGGGTGCACTGGCAGCTGACTTCCAAGAAACACGATTTATCAAGACAGGATTTTGATTGTCCAAAGGTTAAATTGGCCTCTGACTCTTGACTAGACATTTGTTTCATATTCATGAAGGCGTGATAAGGTCAGCTTGCTATATCTTCCGAGTGTGAGCAGTTTCATGGCCCACTTTGCAATTTCCATTAAGCACACTCTTAAAAGACCAGAGGTCATCCAGAATCTGTGGGCTGCCTCTGTCTCTCATCCCCTCGGTCATTTTGACCACCAGGCGAATAAGAAAGCCACAACAGGAGTCGTGCCATGTCCTCCTTGTCCTCTACTGGAGCGCAGTCTTTCCAGAGCCTGGTCGGCTCCTTCTTCTTTTCTAAAAAAGAACTTCTAAAGACTTGAGAACCAGTGTTGGGTTCCCTCTCTGAGTCTTATCCTTCACTCTTGCGGCGGAGCAGAACTGAAATAGGAGGGAAGTGTTCCTCTGTCGTCATGTCAACAGCCCTGTGTTTTGCTGCTCTGGTTGGAGCCAACTGGCCCACAAAGTGCTACGCTTCACAGAGAAAATGCTCCAGCTCTTCAGAATTAATCATATATTTCTCATCGGCTCTCTCTGTCTTTTTCTTTTTTTCCCCTGTGGGTATAAATAGGCAAAGACTGCTCATCTTCTGTGTTTGAGACTGTGTGTAAAGGACAAAGAGGTTTGTGGTCTCGAGGAACTTTGTCTCTCTAGTTTCTAAAAGCCCAGCAAACAGCTCCCAGAGTGGTCTGAGAGCAAAGTAATTGAAGGAGTGTTTTACAGCCCTGTGATGTTTCAGTCCGCCCGACAGTGAGACGTGCCAGATACAGTTCATCTCCACAAACAGCATGTTGCTTTGATAAATACAGACCACATTCTCCGTGGCTTGCTTGTGCTTCCTGAACACGTCCAACCTGCTGTGCGTTTCAAACTCCTCCCTGTTCAGATGCTGAACTGAACGAGGAGCCGTCCGCTTTATCTACGGCCCATCTTGTTAGCTCTGCAGCTGGCTGTAAAAGATGGAGCTACTTTATTAGCCTCACCAGCTGAAGACAGGAAGAACGCAGGAAGTTGTTGAGTGTACATCAGGAGTAATGAGGGGTTTCCTTCTGTGAGCAGCCCGTGATAAGAACTGAAACAGTGCCTGTCCTCTTTAAGATTCTGCGGGTGCGTGCGCAGGGCATCCTCTTGGTCATGAACAAAAAGAGGCTTTGGTTCACAACCTGCTTCCTGATTGTGAGGCAAATGCCTGTTTGTGTTACTCCTCTGAATATTTCTTTCTTTCTGCTGACCTTGCTGGTGGTTAATGATTTCCACTGAAACAGTGAAAATGAGCTTTCACATCTGCAACGCAAATACGGCCTGAGGACCAATACGAATACAATACGCACACCTCATGATCCAAACTTTTACAGGGACAAGAATTCGGCTATATGAAATAAGCGTTGTTGTTGGGTTGGCTGTTGTTTAGGGACGCGCACACCTGGTTCACTTTGCTTTCACAAGAAGGTATTGCATCATCAGTGCGTCAGTCTGAGCCTGTCTGGAGCTTCTGAGCTGAAACGCCCCATCCGTCTCAGTGATGTCTGATGGACTGAACTGATGACTACCGGGGACAGTCAGCACCCTGATGTTTGGTTTGTCTGTGTCATTTGTCACATAACCAGGTCTTTTTGGGAACTCATCCCACAAAGTAGGCGATTCTGTTACAACACTGTGGCGGGAGTGGTGTGGAGATGCATTTCGGTCTGTGATGTAGAGTGATGCAAGAACAGCGTGAAGAATGACTCAAGAGTTCAAGGAGAAGACGTTGAGACATTGCGCACAAACAAAAAGAAGCTGCAGCAGCTGCCTCATGTGTTACTTTCTTCACTACTCCTCCACCCTACATCACTCACCTCTTCTGCGTGTGCTGATAAATTCGACCCCTGCCTTTGTTCTTGTGGTGTCCTCAACTTATATTTTTTCAACCCTACTCTTTCCAGGGTCCTGCCATCCCCTCCACCCTTCCTCCTCTTCTTTCTCTCTGGCTCTAATTGCACACACACCACATAAAATAGAACCAGACTGTTTTCCTTTCCCCCTTCTCTTTACAGCGTAGCACAGAGCCTTTTTCTTATTCCAACCACACCAAGAGCTCACAGTCACTCCAATCATCCACTTTCTCCCTGCCCTACTTTCTTTCTTGCTTTCTTTCTTTCTTCTTCACTATTAGTTTCCTCCCTCACACTTTATCGGGGCTCGTTTTTCAAATCCAAGCAAAGAGGCAACAGGGGGTTTACACTATCAGAGTCCGGCTTTTCTCCATACACCTCCATCCATCCATCCACCCATCCTTCTTCTCCCCACTACTCTGCCTCTATTCAAGGGAGCCAAGGAGTGTGTTTTTGTCTCTCTTTCTCATAGCAGGAATGTAGAAGACATTCTTCTCTGGATTGGAGTGGGAAAGACATTGCCATCAAATGGGATTAGCAGCAGGAGAGGAGGCGGAGGAAGGGGGAAGAAGAGCCAGGGAGAGAATTACAGGCAGAGAGTAAAGAAATCAGTCAGTGGAAGAGTCACAGTGCAAGAGTAAGACATGGGCTTTCTCACTTAAGAGGCCCTTTTGTGCAAACTAATCCATCTGACTCCACCGAGGCACTCTACAAACAAATGAGCCCCCGTCACATAAATGCAGCCGGTTTGAGTCACAGACACAAGGCAGGAAACTCAGAAACTACTTTTCGACAAAGTCCCCCTCAGAGTGATGCCTCTTCTCTCCACAGCCTGAACTTGCTACCTTTAGGAGCCTCAGGAAAATGAATGGATACCACACTCAGCCTCTGAGCGCTCCAAGATAACTAAACAACCACTCTGAGAACATATGATTTAAGCATCAACTTAGACCACTGGTAATGAAGCAGAGCATGACAAAAATACTTTGTGTTCCACCCTAAACATTCATATTTGACTGCATAATGGCTCAGATAAAAATAATTAATGATCTTTTTTTTTAAAGTTCCCGAAAAGTATAGGAAATGATTTCATAAAAAAGTTTCTCATCAAAGTTGTAAAATCATTCTTGTTATCTTTAAGCCGTTTTTCTGTCAGATTCTCACTGCGGCTGCAGTTTGGTTGAACCTGCACTAGTTTGTCTCAAATGACTAAAGAGAATAAGAAAGACTTGTACCTTCAGTGATTTGATCTTCTTTGTGGATATATCCCAGCAGGACAGTGAACTGAGCGTCTGAGTGCTGCCCTGCCAGGTATGAGGAGCATATATAGGGCTGGCCGGCCAGACAGTGACAGAGGCAGCCGCTCTCTCTCTCACTCTGAGTCTCTGACTCAGTCAGTCTGCCAGAGAGCTCCTCCTCTTCACACTAAAGGCCCGCAGTCTGCCAAGGAGCTGCTGCTTTCACAGTAAAAGCTTGCGAGTCAAAGTAAGGCACATCTTATTAATTTTTCTCGATCCTCGACTGACTCCAAAGAGAGCATAGAACGCAAACGTGAGAAACAAGCGTCTTGACCAAGCCTCACTTTTAAGTGGCAAAAATGAAAGCGGGCCCTTTCTCAAGCAGCATTTGAAACCCAGGTTTTGACTGGAAACATTTTTTCTGGCCGCACAGGCACATTATCTGCCCTTCATTTGTTAACAAAGAACAGGAGGAAGCTATTATGTACATGCTGAGCATTGGAACATAATAGCTTTGTGTAACACATTCTGTTTTCTGTGTGCAGTCGCACACAACCACACATTTTTGGGTTCATTCACACAAGTATGTTCGCAAGTATTTCTCAATAAGAGAATCATCTCCCACATTTTTGTGGCATGATGTAAACCCCCTTTTTTTTTTTAAAGAAATGAAACATTTTCTATTTTCGTGTGCTATGCCTCTATTTTTAGAGGCTGCCTTTCAGCCTGGTTGATGAGTCATGGCACTCTGATGGAAGGTAGTTAGGAGGGGGGCATGGATCCGGTCCAGTGTTTTTTTTTTTTTGGTATGTGTGCTTTGTAAAGTGTTTGTGTAACTATTGGGAAAAGGTCAGACAGCTATTAGGAGACAAGTCATTCCTTGCCTGTTGAATCACTGGCACTAAAAGCCGAGACAGAATAGATCCCGTCTTGGTGACAGAAGTGTCATGAGAGTGGAGTGTGTACACATTTTTACACCCTCTAATTAACATTCACAAATGGGAGCTGTGTGGTCGGATGGTTGAGAGTGTTTCTAAAGGAAGATGCTTCTCTGCCACACAAACAGCCACATTAACCACTTGCACCAGCAGCTGTAGTGAGCATCTAATCACAGGCTGATTGATCTCATCCGGAAACAATGTTTTCCTCTGAGTGTGTGTGTACATGTGGGGTAATGTGTGTTTGTCTGTGTTTAACGCATCAGGCTGCTCTCTATGAGGGGATCACTGAGGCCAGCTAGTTTCCATGCTGTCAACTCCCAAGCATACACCCTGCCTGGTCCCCCGCTCCTCTTTTCCCTCTGTTCATCTTTTCATCACTCCCTCTCCCTCGGCTCTCCTTTCTGTCTTCCAGCTCCCTGTCTGTGTTATGAAGGTCAGCTCCCACAACTCTCTTCCTTATTTGGAAAGTTTCTCCATTCCATGCAGGTCACTCTGGTCCATCTGACCAATCCAGTGTTGTGTTAGTCTGGCTTCTCAGCCAATCCCGTGCCTCCCATGTCCTTTTAAGGACTGCCCATCTCCCTGACTGTGGAGGCCCATGTGAAATGATCTTTTTTCTGCTCGCTTGTTCCTCCTGTGACTTCATTTTACTCTTTATTCTGTTGCACAAACCCTCTTCCCTCCCAAATGAGAACAAATTTCCTGTCTCTGCCTTTTTTCCATTTGGCTGAAATAAAAAAAACATCTATGTGGCCTGCAAAGGTATCCATCAGGGCCCTCATTCAGTCATTGTTTTACTTTCGCAGCTAATTAGATGAATGATGACAACGAGACACGAGCATAGCTCCAAGTGTGTAGACAGTGCTACATGTGGTCCCTTAACACTCATGTTTCCCGCTTTCCATAAAACCGCGAGCAACACCTCGACAAGAAAGTGATTGTTAATACTTCATTAGAGAGTTCATGACTTGCACCTCGTAAACACAAACAAACTGCTGAGAGGAAGCTCTGAGTCACAGCACAGATATGCACCAAATCCTGGCAGCTGAAAGCTCCTTGTTCAGCAGAGCGACACAGGGAGCATACAGCAGAACCCGCTTTTTTACATTAAAAAAGCCCCCAAAAGCACAAAACAAACAAACAAGAAACTGTTGATAAAACAGATAAAAAATGCAAAAGGCGACAGTCAACAACCAGCGACCTGCTGCGGCTTCACGCTCTTTAAAAAATAGTAGAGGTTCGGGGTGTATGTATGTGTGTGCATCTCCCACAGCGGGAGAATAATGACTGCTGCCGGGAGCTGTTTGTTGCCTTCAGTTTGTATGCTGTTCCCCTGACAACAACTTCACAGAGGTTAAAGAGGCCTGGAACTACTGGAGGAATCGTTTAATCTCAGTGGTATGGCAGATATGTCAGACATGGATTGAAAAGTATGAGGTCAAGCTGCAGGTCACATTAAAATGGATTAGACCATTCTTGGCCTTCGTCACAACAGTAGTTACGTGCTCGTGTGTGCTGGATCATGTCGTACTCCGACAGTATCGATCGACAACTTCACAGAGAGAATTCTTGCGTGCTGTTGATCACAAACTTCCATGCAAAAAAAGCCCGAACTTTCCGTTTCCTCCCACTACAGATGCACAGTGACCTTTACTTTCTTCAACCAGACTACTTCTGCATCCACTTAAAATATCAGCTGAAAACTATTTATAATCAAGTGCAGGTGCTGTTTACTGTATGTACAATATGTCGGTCATCTGTTTAACTTCACATGCAAGCCACCCACATACTGTATATCACAGTAAAATAGTCTCAATGCATCTCTTTAACTAATCAATACCTAAGAAAATACAAAGTAAAGAATAAATCACAGGGAAATTGGGATCAGTGTAGCGACAAATGGCTAAACCGATGTCCTGGAAAGTGCAGAAGTCCCTGTTTTTCATCATCCTTAAGTAAAACTGAATATAGTGCTGAGCTGTGTTAAAAATAGATTTCCCAGTCGCGCTGCCAGTGACTACTTTGTGGAACGAAAGCTGCTCCAGAGAATAATTTCAGCTGTTGCAATTCAACACCCAAATTAAAAATAATTTGTGTGTTGATTCCCTTTCTTATGAAAGAGAGTTTACGTTGTGAAAGGAATAATTGTTGCCTCTTGTACTTGTGCACTCAGTGACACCCAACAGGAGGTTACACCAGCTTATGGTATAAAAAGTCTGCCTACTACTCTACTCTTATCACGGGCAGCATTTTTGATTTCACATATCTTGTTTCATCATACAAGAGTCTCCTGGTGTGTCTTTTTTGGTGTTCACGCTCTGCTTTCTTAACATTAAAAATGTGGCAACTTATGGCAGCTTTGTTTTCACTTAATAGCAAGATTATGTTGTTGCCTCACAATGTGCAAAAAAGCTCTTACATTTGTCTTTATCCTTCATCATGCAGCGGTAGTATGCAGAGCTCATCCATAAAAACAGAAACATGCATGGCACTTAAGTCTGCAAGAGATTCACAAGCTCCAGGTGTTATCAGTTTGTCATGATAAGACTTCACAGTGCGTCATCTATGTACAGTTCAACCTTGAACAGATAATTGTGTTGTTGGATCAAGACGGACCATATTTCTGTACATTGAGATGCAGCAGAGGATTAAAGGCCTCTTTACATGTCAGTGCCTCACAGTAGTCATAAATTGTTTTCAGTCTTTTTTTTAAAAACACTTCTACAGGAACGCTGGTTTGTTTTTCGGACCGGCTCACACAATCAAACTGGCTTCAACGCCAAGATAACTTTTGCTTTCGTTGCGTAACACATACACTCAATGGGTCACGTTAAGAAAACATTTTTGCTGTGTTAGTTTAATCCCTGAGGTTGTTTGTGAGAGAGCGACCAAACCGTGGTCTGTACATTGCTGTGAGCTTCATCCTGTAAAAAATAGCAGCCTGAAAATAACAGACCCTTTTACAGACTTAACCCGCTAAGACATCTAACCAACATATCATTTGTGACTGACACAGAAAAATTGCCTTGTGTAAAGATAATTTGCACTAAGCTTCTTTAATCTTAAGCTTTCTATGTGTCAAGACATAATGCACAATTAGGTGGTTATGAAATTAAATAAACGCGAATGCAATTGCTTTTCATTATAAAAAAACAAACGCCAAATACAAACGCAGTGTGTATAGCAACAGAAATTAACTACGTAAGTAGCTGCTAATCCAATGCAGGATAAGCAATAGCACCACCACAAAAGCAGAAGTTTTGTTTGTTTCATTCACGTGGATAGACAATGTCAAGGAGGAAAGACACCAGACATCGAGGCAATTGAGTCTAAGTCTAGGCCATACAATATTCAAAAATAAAAATACTAAACAACATTTTAAAGTCTTGATATCTGAACTCCTATTAAATTAAAAAAAAAAACTAAATATATACCTGCCCAAACACCTCAAACCTCAAGCATAGCAATGAAAGGCTGATGATTTTTGTTGCTTTTCAACAGCTGAGCATAAAGTCCCCTATTTTTGGGTCAAAAGAGAGGCCAACAGCTTAAGCTTGGCTGAAACAGACTCATCAACACGACAATGATCCAAAACACAGCAGCAGTCCTACAACCAAAGGTCTGAAGAAGAAACTAGGTGTTGCATGGTCTAAGTAGAGTCCAGACCTCAACCTAATTCAAATGTTTTGGTGGGGCCTTGAAAGAAGCTGCTATTGGAAAACTGAAAACTACAATAAACTTTAAAAAAAAAAAGGATTTTTATGAGTAAAGTCTTAGAGAGTTCAAATTACTGATACAAATACTTTTTTCAGCAATATATGCTTTATTTAAATTTTTCACACTATGTTGACATTTTGGATAATTTTTTGTCAAGGAGTCAATCATACAGTATAATACGTCATGTGTATGTGTTCATTTTGACAGAAAAAAAACAGCTAATGTTTTAAAGAAAAATCCATTGCTTGCCCTCTAAACCCTAATTTTACTTATCCAACCAGACAATCTTAAGCCTCTCCCCTGAGAATTTCCTTTGATTCATTTTCTGATGTCTGGCATCCTTGTCGGGCATCAAACCCAAATACCTACCAACCCTGCTCTGTCTTCCCTCAGCCCAGAAAAACAGCAGGCCTGTTTTCCCGGCTCAAGTCTCCTGCAGTCCATCCGTTCCTGCCAAGTCACACAATGACTTCCTCCATCTCATCAACTCTGTTTTACTGAGGAAAAATCATCACTTAACCAGATTTCCAGTTTGTTTTCCCTGCAATTTAGAACAATTCATTCTGGATTGTCCATCATTTACACTTTTCTCTAATTAATGTAAACACAGGAGTGTGTCGTTTTATTTGATGCAGCTGTAGCTTTATAAATCATACTGAGAGCCATGGAAGAAACTGAAGTCATTTTGAAAGATATCTGGAAAAGGGTCATATTTATGAGATTCAATCTTTAAATTAGAAATTGTGAATTTACAGACCTATTGCTGAAATCCTGAATTAACCGTGCACTCATATAATTAAACTCAGACCACACTGATCTCACTCCCTTTATGTAAATACTGTTAAACAAACAACCCTTCTTGACAGCGATTTATCAACCTAATCAAGGCTCGAGGGTCATAGTTTCCACCGTTTCAGCTACATTCATAGTAATATAAAAAACGATTAGTCAGAAGGTTTTCACTGCTGATTAAAGCAGACATAGTAACTGCAAAGTGCTCATTAACAAAGCCGGAGTACATTACTTTCCAAAGTGGTCTGATTTGCAGCAGCGTGCGACGCGAGCAGAAGAGACGTCAGCCAGTTGCGGGATGTCCCACAAGACAAACAGGATCTGCTTGAATTGAATGACGAGTGAGGGGGCTTTAGGTCGCAGCCTGTGCTCAAAAAGGCTATCCAAGGAAACAGAGTTTAGTGTGGCTGAAACACGACCTTTGGTTAATGGCAGGGCTGCCGGTTTTACTGTGTAATTATAGAATTTAAAGAGGAGGCGGGGCTCAGTCTTTCTAATTGCATCGCAGTAGGGGGGTGATTGTTTGTGGTGCCTTATTCATGTCGTTGTTGTGGAAAAAGGAAACTAAGTATACCTGTATTATATTTATACCATGCATTTTACGCGCTCATTGGTAAACTCCACAGTGAAAAAGTTCAATGTTTGAAATGCCATAAGAGTTACAATCAGATCCTATCCTCCCTCCAAGATACACAGGCCCCCAGCCAACAAATTATGTAATCTGAATACAGGATGCCATCAGTGAATTATTAACCCACAGAGTAAATACTGTTGATGGGGTAAGGTTCAATGCACTCTGAATGTTGTGGTTTAACACAAATACCATTTTAGATTGTGTATTTGCCTCCACGATGAAACCAATACTGATTTCAGTTCATGAAGTAAAACTCAAAATTACATCCTGAGAATCACCTTTAAGGTAAAATATTTACCTGAAATTTTCTTTCTTCTCCTCTATATTCACAGCTCTGGAATCACAGAATTAACAAGTCATAACATTTATACAAACAGATAAGCAATAGCACCCACGAGCAGGAAGGGACTCCAGTGGCCATGCAGAGAAACTGGAATGTGCAACGCAAGAGCTGAGCTTCACTGCCTTGAGAACAAACTCTACATGCAACCAGATACAAGCCATGGCAGAGGCATTGCTCACCATCTGCTTTCGATGGGATATGCAGGCTGGACTGACTCGGAATCTAAACATGTTTTTCTCATGTGGGCCTGTTTACTCTCAGAGAACACAGTGATGTCTTTAAATCAATCCTGGAATCTATTTTAACGCATCAGTGTATGCTATATGCGTCAGAATGAACCAAAATGACAATTCAAAGTGGATAACTTAATAAGATGAATAATGATGATGAAGATTGTTCTGGTAACCACAAATGTCTGAATAAAGTAACCCATCCAAATGTTCCGTGAAATTATTTTATCCAGCCAGTGGTGATGGGTCCTCCACAGTTAAACGTCAACCCCATGAAATTATTGTTGGGAAAACTAAGAGACCATCGAAGTCAGTAGGATAGAGGATCCACAGAGGATCATGATTTTGATTGAACTGGCTGTTTATTGAATTGTTGTCGAGTATCTCTGTCACTATCAAAGAATCAGACAAGGCCGACTAACTGGCCACCAAACAAACCCTAAAAGCTAACCATTAGCGTGATAGAATACTCAAATAATTGAGCATGAACCAGTGAGACATCCCAGAAGCCGAGGGATGAAAATGTTAACCACATAATGACAACATCCCTGGTTTGAGTCTGAATGTGAATTTTAGCTGCATACCAGTCCCTCTCTTTCCCACGTCTTCTCTAACTGCCTCCTTGTTTCTTCTCAATTCTGAGTTTTCAGTGCTTTTGAAAGAAGGCAAAAACTGAAGGCGTGAACCAGTTGGATGGGAAAAACTTTCATGCACTGTGCGGTGCAGACATTTTTAAACACACGACCCATTGAAAACCAAACCATTCAGTGCCCAGTACTTAGCTAATAACAGTGATATACTACCCCATCCCCACAGAGCTGTCAGAAAGGTACTCAGGAAAAAACACTGACCCTGTCCTGGGCCGGGGCATGCAGCATGAGGTCAGACACAGACAATAAGAGCCATCCAGCAAAAGCCGCACAGATCTGTTTACGGCCGCAGACAGAGAGCAGCTGGCAGACCTGCCCTGGCACATGTGGTGCTACAGTTACGCGAGCATAAAGGAAAGGGAAAGCTTTTTTTCGAAAAGGGGCGGGAAACCCCCCCCCCCCCCCCCAATCAACCCTTTAGACAAAGCTGAGACACAACACTGTCAATTTCACCACACCCCTCAAAGTCCTCCGACTCCGTCTCCCCACCACAAAACTTCCCAAGAGATTATAGCCGTCCCCTTGCATGCAGACACATGGGGACCCAACAGGTACTCACAGCTTTGGTTTCGGCTTGGTGGGCAGTGGAGGAGCATCTTTCCCTTGGGATGGAGACAGCTTGCCTGACACTGGAGGTGAGTCTGGAATCATGCTTGCCGGGCTCTGGGCTTTGATTGGGACGTCGGTTACAGGGTCTGACGGAGGCAATGGAGGAGGTGGTGGTGGTAGAGTTGTCTCTTTTCGTAAACTTGGAGGTGATGGCGGCTTTGGGGGTTGACTGTTCTGATCTTGCCCTTTGTCCTTGTCTTCAACCTCAGAGCTAATCCCCACTGAGGGTAGAGCTGATACCATGGGCCAGATCTCCAGTTCCTTGATGTGGAAACCCTCAGAGCAAGGCTGAGGTAATGTCTTAGGTGGCAGCTCCAGGAGGCTGATCTCAGTGGGTGGTGGTGGAGGAGGAGAAGGTGGAGGAGGAGAAGGAGGAGGAGGGAAGGATGCCGTGTCCTCAAATCCTGAGCTGTCACCAGACATACCGTTACTGGATGAGTCCTCAGCTGCTGAAGGAAATAGTCATGGGGAAAGTAGAGACTTTTTTTACTTAAATGTTTACTTTTCTTTCAGCAACCCACCACAGGCCTTACTACGTGGAGGTCACACACACACACACACACTCAGCTGATCTGATCTGAAGCAGCAGCTGGATCCAGTCAGGCTGATGCAATTCCTGTTTATTCAGCCTTTCCTTTAAACTGTGCGGCGAGTTCTGCACTACATACAAAGCTCTGTCTGTGAGAGCACATAAAAACATTTATGACCAGCTATGTATCACCTTTCCCTTCAACAGACTTATCACTAACCAATAACGTGGTCACATTGTATAGACAAGCTTTTTGTGGAGGGTCCCCCCTACATAGAGGTTGAAAACAAAACAAATTGTTCTAATTTCCTGGCAAAAGATGATACCAGTCAGCTAAAGTTGAACTTTATACACCACTTTAGGATGTGACTATTTCCAAGTATGTTTGACCCAGAACACACTCAGGAGGTTCAACCATTGTAGATAAAGCAGAAGTAGCGTGCCCTAATCCCCTTATTCTAACATTTTGTCTCTGAGGTGATGTGCTTGTCATCCATCAGAGGGCTTTTTTAAAGGAAATTAGGAGCTGAGTGTCCGCATTTCTACATTACTTGTGGTCATGTGTCGATTACATTTGAATGTCATGAAATTTCATGTTTATGCATTTTGACACTTATCACATCTTGAAATAATCTTATATAATATGATATACCAATAATTCCTTTTACTGAAAGTTGAAGTTTATGCTAATTCCTTTATATCACTATTTACAGACAATCCCCTAAAAAGGAGTGTCCTTTGAAATTCCACCAAGGATAAAATCTAAAGACTGGCAATAATAGGACTTTTAAACAACTAAAGCCAGTTGAAAAAAAACAGAAAAGTCCACAGAGCTTATTTTCACTTTACAGTTCCACATTTAGGTTTCTTGTAAACAGTACCTTTTAAATTCCTCTCACTTTGTATGTTATCTATGGTGAATCAGCAAAGGCATCATATCTTGAGGTATTATTATTGAACTCTGTCTCCTTACACACACCTGGAGTTACAGTGAGTTGGGCTGTGCTGCTGACAGAACCATGGGGGTTGGATGCTTTACAGCAAAACAGACCTCCATCCTCAGGAAAGGCCTCAGCTATGACCAGGGTGCAGATCTCCTCTAGAAACAAAAGATACCATCAGCACATTCAAAATATTTTCTCGTCGTGACGCATAAAAAAAGACACCATGCAATCAACAGGACAAGTTATGTACACGAAAACCTGATAATGGATGTATCGAGTAGACAGATGAGTCATTCATCAGACACACCGAGAATAGAATGAAGATGAACAAGCATGAGGAGCAGACATGCACACAGATGTTCAGGGATGTCCATGTGACTACAGCCTGAGACAAGCCCTGAGTCACAAAGGTGGGAAAGATCTGACCTAAATTAGTACGCGTCAGGGATTCCCTCTGACTGACAGAAGTGATATTGAGTGTTCTGTGAGACATAGACCTATTAAACTTCGATCATCACTGGAGCTGTAGTTTAAGTTTCCAGACAAAGTCTATTATCCATTAGTAAATTCAACTCCTGGCTGTGTGTTGGTACATGAAAGCATAGTTCTCACTGACAGACATTCTTTGATGGCCCTGAGGCAACAAACCTGGCTCAGCAGCAGATCGAGGCTCTGATTCACATACGAAGCGGGAGGAAAGGAAAGAGAGACAATTTTGTTATTGGAAAATATTAAATTTCAGATAAATGTGTATCGATACAAGATATTCCGCTGTAAAAAAAAGAAAAAGAAAAAAAAAAGGAAAAAAGTGAGCCATCTGGGTCTCACTTTTTTGGAGAATACGAAAATCGGGGGAGTCCAGGATCTCGTTTCCCTGACGGTACCATTGGACCTGAAGAGGAGGGCCTCCGCGAACCCTGCACTCCAGAACCACCACCTGGCCTTCTGACGCCTGGGCATCTTGCAATAGCTACACAGAGGATGACATTACAGGCGAGAGATAAAGAAAACAGTAAGGGAGAAGTAATGAGAAAAGAAATGGTTGAGTGATGGGTGAGGGGGACACGAGAAGAGGATGAAACTCATAATGAAAGAGATCAATCCTTGTCAGAAGGGATAAAGAGAGAGCAAGGGTGAAGATTATGTGCACATAAATCTTGGAAAAATAAAGTTGAAAGACTGATAGCCAATCAAACTGACTCCTCTTACATAACATAACTCCTCTTGCTGGACCTCATAGTTCAAATTTTTTCAGACACTCAGTTATTATTTCTTTCTAGATATATCCCACACTATATTTCACAGTTCTCTCCTTTAATTGGAATTCCATTCAAGTGGTAAATCTGAAATGATCAGAACCTACAAATACGTTTTGCAAATCAGACAATCTTTAAATTGGATATCCCAAAATGAAGGGCATGTTTTGTAATAGATTGAAAGTGCAGATTTTTGTTAATGTGTTACAACTGAAAACCTTTTAATTTTCATGACTATTTAGTCCTTTTGGGAATGATCACGTTTGCTTGGCACATTTAAACTATAAAAATCTACAAAAAAATAGATCACTACAGCCTGTGCTCCTAAGAACTCTTTCACTTAAGAGTTGTCTGCATTTTTTTGCTCTTAGGTTTTGATATAGGCGGTTTAGAGGATCCAAGTGCACACAAAGGGGATCTGTCTCCAGATTGCTGGAAATCCCTCTTAAAAACCTTGATTCAAAGTCTCCGGTATGTCCAAAACATTACATAGCAGCTTACATTGTGGTTTTCAGGACAAAAAAAATCTCCACACGGAACTTAATGAAAAGGGTCTAGTGAAATAACTGACACACCAACAGGATGCTCTCACTGTTAATATGGATAAGAGTCTCTCTCTGCCTGTCTTCTACCAATTGTAAATTTCAGTAGTCCACAGGTGGGGTATACGTCATGGACGTGAGTGCACAGGTGACATCAGGAATCACTGCCATTGTGAGTATTGTCTCATTGAGATGATTAAACCCTGCAAGGGGTTTTTTAAGGGGCGGATGTATGGGTGAAGAAAAACAAATGTCTTTTCCTAATGAAGTGAAGGATGATTTAGGGCCTGACAGCCTGAGTGAGAGTGAAGGGGACCTGACCCTTGTGGGTTTGGCAGGCATGTTTGAAGCCTTGCCTGGGCCCATCTCAGTCCAGCTATCACAAGAGCTACAGTCTAGGGGAGGAGGGAGTCGGGGGGATGATGGAGGAGTGTGGAAGAATCTGAACCGGAGAAGGAGGAACCCTCATCAAAGTCTATGTTTTATCTGACCCCCACAGCTGGAAGCCGCAGCACGCTGTAGTGTTTTCATGAGATGCCTGAGGACATGCATGTCAGCCTCTGTGGATGTTTGCATGTGTGATAAACCGTACTCTGTGGGTTTTTTATTGTTTGGATTATAGTTCTGTTGTTAAGAGGAATCTAGCTGCTCTATCAATAATTGTAGACTATAGTGGGCTTCTAACTTTGTGGCAGCGGTTTGGCCTTGAGAAAAAGATACCACTTTACCAAATGATGAAAGATCTGAGACATTTAGGATTCATTCAAATGCCACTAGATTGGGGGCTGAGCTTCATCAGTGATGTGTGTATTTATTGAATTTACAAGTATCTTGTATATGAAGACTTACCTTGGTGAATTGAGGAGGGCCTGACACCTCAGCACCATACAGTGATGACACTGGGCTTTGCATCTACAGGATAAAACACAGAACAAGAGTTCTGACACAAAGATAAAGAAATGTTTTGTCTTTTGCTGATCTGTTTGGCTCATTTGTGCTGTGGGCTATTGGTGCTTACCCGTGGTGGGGGCTGAGACATGGACTGCACCAGCGTGGAGCGATGAGGAAGTACCTCAGGCGTTTTTGGTGAAGAGGAGCGTATTGTTAGCGACATTGAAGTCGTCTTTTTCTGCCCTCTAAAACAAGCCAAGACAGGATTTTTTCAACTCTGAACACAGTTAAAATATGATACTTGGAAGAAAATGGCCTTTCCAGCAATTAAGACCATATCAGTGATCTTGGCCTCAGTTTGTAAACAGAGGTAAACAGAAACAGAATCAGGAAGCAGTCCAGATGGATGCAGATTTATGTGTGAGATAGTGATCAGAAAGATTCTGAGGAATAGGAAGCATTTTCAATGCTGGTATTGTTAACTGAGTGGAGCATATAAAAGCAGACCTAACTAAATAATTTATTTGGTAATGAAAAAACAAAACTATTCAGCAAGTTAGATGTGGAAAAAGGAAGTGTTTAGGGAGTTTAAAATTTACGATGAGAAGCAATGGACAACCTAAATGATGTGATTTTGTACATATTAACCCTCTGGTCCTCTCATTACTTGGATTGGGTCCTATGTTCTGGGTCAAAGTGGCTCTTTAAGGGCTTTTTAATGGCCTTGTTAAAGAGAAACAGACAGCATTTTTGATTTGCTGCTGCAGGACTCAGTTCAGCCGTTCATGAGTTCAAGGTTCACAAGGTCAAGGGTCACAGGAGGCAATGCAGAAACACACATACTTAGACATGGCTCCTGATCTAGACTTGGGCACTGCTCCCTCCCCTTCTGAATCTGATGATGAAGCGCCTGCAAATGGGGGAAATAAGTAAAGAAAAAGACATACAGTGGTGGTTATATAATATGCTCTGGTGTGATGTTAGTCCGGTTCTTTAAGATGAAATAATAGCGGGAATGATTCTGTTGTTTTTAAATTAGTACCCTATGCACTACCCTTTACCAAGACAATACTAATGCATCACTCTGGTCCTTGAATAGATATAGTCTCTCAGCTTGAACCATAAAAAAGACAATAAAGAACTTGTGAATGATGCCTGTTTTGTTTAAATGTGGGTTCAACACATGATAATGATCAAGCATACACATTAACCTTGTGTTCAGGTCAAGACTTTTGGAAAGCCATTAAAAAAGATTAAAGTTTATCAGTGACACATCCAGCTTTGATGTATGCTGGAGGTCACTATCCGCCTGATGGTTTGATGATGACACAAAATAAATTCAAACAGTCTCAGCAGTTGGAACTGCTTATGTATTCTTGGTGCTGAATACTTAATATTCTCTTTATTTGTATGAATAACTGTCCATACTGGTCTCGCAATAAATCAAAACTTGAACTCAACTCTTTCCTAAAAGCTCAATCATTCTGCCACAGGGAAAGAAATGTTCCAGGTAGTCTCTGAATGGCCAGCTTTTCAGAGATGTAAAAGTTCACTGGGAGTTTAAATGTATGCTCCAGCTGTAAAGATGAGATGTTGAAATGGTGCTTTTCATTTCGGACCTTCGATGTAAACCTCAGCAGAGGTGTTGTCTGCTCCGAGGCTGTTGGAAGCGATGCAGGTGTAGCGCCCCGTGTCGTCCTCAAAAGCTTCTGTGATCACCAGTGTGTGCAAGTCACCGTCTCTCCAGATTTGTATGTCGGGAGAGTTCTGGAGCTCCCGGCCTTCACAGAACCACCTGCGAGCAGAAGTAAACTTTGCTTAACCAGGCATGTTGCGCCAAACGGCAAAAACAACTTGGTGTTACTGCACAACGTATTTCCTATGTTATACGCCTTTGACAATAGGCATGTGTCTCTTTTTGATAAAATTTGATCCTACAAGAGAAAGTGGTCTCTTTTCATAACATATCCTTATCTAAATACTCATCTTTCAGATATAATATGGAGCTGCCATTTAACTAAACATGAATAACCACTTATTCACACACACACCCTCTGGGCATGTCTGAGTTGCCATATCTGCCAAAAATCAGCCACCCCGAGGCACTGACAAGACGTTGTGTTACGGGAAGCAGAAACACCCTTTTCCCTTTTTCCAATCATAGGGCTGTGTGTCTGGGCAGGCGCCTGAGCCCTGCATCACCTCCCTTGGGAGTGCTAACACATGCCTATGTCCCTGATCTGGCACTCAAGAGGGATGATATAGTCTACAACTCCAGCAGCTTCTTCCGTCTCATCTTCCTTCACAGGCTTATGATTAAAGCAGACCCCCCCAGGACATTGCTACCACATCAAGTGTAAAATCATATAATAAAGGTCAACTCACTCCTCCCCTCAAGTCAAACAAAGGCTTGAAACTTTATTCCTATCATATCCATTTTGGGGCTTTTTATGCAAGATGTGTTCGAGTTATACGCTTCACTTACACGTCACAGAAAGTCAAAACACTTTAGCAGATAGGAGTCATGTTCACCTCTTGACCTCTACCACTGACACAGGCAGGAATTCCCAAAAAGCCGGAAGGACAGCTGCTCTACCCGCCCACAGCCCTGACCTGAGGACATTCCGGTTGTCTTAGAGAGCTGCTTAAAAATTCCCGACAATCTGCCACATGGCACATTTCTCAGCTTTTAACTTGCTGCCGTGTCGGTGAAGCAGCAGGCTGATTCCTGTTGCAGAGAGCAATCAATCAGCTCAAATATCAAGACAACACTTCATATCTGAGGGTTTACACCTGACGGGGCGGGTGTGGGAGAGCGCAGCCAGACAGAGAAAGTGAGCAGATGAATGGCGGAAAACAGGAAAAAGGAGGTGACTGAGCATGAGTCAGGTGGGGTCAGACAGCGACAGTGATGCACACTCATTAGAGAGACGGCTCCAATTGAGCGACTTATCAGTGGCAGGTGGAGCAGTTCAGAGCTGAAACCCAGGTCAACCCATGACAGTGTTGAGGAGCTGCTCACACCAACTGAAGGGGCACATCATTGCGACAAAGGACCAGAATCAAATTTCATGCACGGGAAGTCCAAAGTTGTTTGTGCACCAAAAACATGAAACTGATGCAGAACAGGATGTGTCATATTAACTGTCAGTAAGAAAGATTTCTTCAGTTAGTTAGTGTGTTTTTTTTTAAACCTTTCTTTTTTTAAACACTGACAGGAGAAAAGGTGAACTCATCTTTTTTTGTGACCTTTATGTCTACTGAAACCCAGGTCTTATTTATTTGTTAAACCTTGTTACTGACTTTTACATTGCACAGCTTTTTAATAAAAAACTGGCTTAACCTTCGACAATGAGAGCATATGCTTTAAATTTGAATTAAACAATTTGATGCTAATCCCGGTCATTATAGGAAAATCATGGGATACTTTTCAAGTCGAATTAAATGCAGAGAAAAAATGTTTGATGTAACACATGACATCATGGAACTAAAGCCTTTGGGTTTTTGTGATGAATGAGGTAAAAGCTTTTGAAGGAACTGCTCCAAGCGGGTGCTTTTCCCGTATGTGTGTCACTACACTGAGCAGATGCCAGCAAACAGCAGGGGTACATGTGGCTGGCAATAATCTGTACCAAATCTATCTCCACATATTAACACATCTGAGCTAGAGACAAACATAACTGAAACTCAAGCATGCATTAGCTAAACTTTTTTAAATCCAGTAGCTTTTCACTTTACTTATGTTAAATTTAAAACTCAGGCCATGTGCTCAAGGTAAGTAAAAGAATGAAAATGTACATTTGTTTGAAATTGTAAATAAATTCAACAGAAAGGAGCAGAAGATCAACATCAACATCAACTCCTCTGGGATAATTGGGAAGCATAAACCCTTTCCAACAAGCACAACAATAAAAAAAACTTTATTAATCAACCTTAATGATCTACCATTAAGCATAATTACTGAGTAAACTCATTTAGAGACAGACGGTAATGTTTATTTAATCTCCTCTCTATTTAAGTGGAATGTGCTGAACATGATAATAGGCCAAAACAGCATGGCTTGTTTTCTCCAACGGGGAAACCGAGACCTCATCAAATCACATACAGTGCAGAGGGCACACAGAGAATTCAACTGTCAATAGATTCATTTGAAAGGGAAGCAGGGTGTGTTAGAATAGCAGAGAGCGAAGGTAGAAATTTCTTGGCAGGGTGCAGTTTTACCACCCATTTCCTCTCAACACAATACAAATACGAAACACAACTATTCAGAACATGCATACAAAATAGCAGTAAGTTAGTGGGCCTCATAAGAAATGCCTCACCTTTTCATTCATTCCCCACCCAAAGGCAACCAGCCAAAAAGGTGATTATACATCCCACCATCGCCATCAAAAAATCTGTCACCAGCTCTCTGAACAATAATAGCATGTTAGAAAGTAATTATACTCTGCTCAGTTAAGACAATTGAGGCCAGATGAAGCCTCAGATAGTGTTGTTCGTTCTCTGCAAAAACATGGTCCAGAAGAGGAGAGCATTCCATAAGGACAGGCCAAACCAAAGCCTGTTGCCCTGGCCTCAATAGTGCGTGCTGAGGGCCGCACTCTCCTCATCTGACCCTGTTGTTATTTGCTGCTGTTGATGGAAAATTTTATGAAGCAAGGCTCAATTTCACCACAAACCCAAACGAGTGGAGGCCAGAAAGAAGAAAGAAGGGGGAAAAGGAACGAGGTTTCCGTCACAATAATGACCGTGACAAGATGTGGGAGTGACCAGCTTTCAAACAACACACCCACAAAACATTCGACAATCAATATGAGGTATAAAGCGCGGGTAGATTTCTTCCTGGGTTATGTTTGTCTTTCGTCTTCTTTCCAACTTGGCCCCTCAGTGTTGAGTTTCAAGCCTGCTGACCACAGAATTCAACCAAAGTTCAACTGGACAACAAGAGCGGCATCAAGCCTGTCTTTATCCCTAATTACAAACTACAATAAAGGGTCAACTGAAACCGCCCCAAACCCTATAGCAAGCGATGCTGGTTTTATTATCTCCTAATTTATGCAAAAAGGACTGAAAGCATATTGGATTTCCTCTTTCCCATGCTGACTAAAAGCAGCAATGGAGGCAGCTACACGCAGTGAATCTTTCAGTACATTGTTTTGGTGTAAACCGTGTCACTACTCTCATAACTATGTAACTCATATATAATAGCCAGCTATTTAAACACAAATACTGATAAATCCTCTTTTTCCCTTAAAACACCAACTATTAAATGCAGTTTGCTATTATGGGGGAACTTAATCAGCCCTCATTGGCTCTACTCGCCCCACCACCACTACGTTCAAGGTTGTTTTCCATTACAAATGAGGTCCAAACAAAAAGATGTTTGTACAGTCCAAAAGCAGGACACAATAGTGAAGGACACTGTGGAGGTGATATGTTGGTGGAAGCTTGTTGTTGGACACGGTGTTGGTTCATGTCCTTGGCATTTGCAATGTTGATGATCCCAAAAATAATTAAAGATTTGTTGTTGCCTCTTTTTTTTTTTTTTTTAAAGGTGGGGTTCCCATGAAGCAATCTCTTTCATCCAATCATGTGACTTCCTGTCCAATCAGAGTTTGGCAGAGAAGGTGCTAAAATTGCAATTGTTGGGAGGCACCAGCAATTCTTGGACATGCAAAAAAAGAAAAACAAAAACAACTACAGTCAAGCCGAGCCGCACTCAGAGTAAGTACTACTAGAAACTTCCATTAGTCTTTGATAACTGGTAAGCCATTAACACAAAAATCCAGTTCATTTTGCTGGTTTGTGAAGACTAAAACAAGAATTTCAAATTCTCTAAATATCTGCTAATGTTCAAGATATGTTGACGTATGACTTTAAAAAACTGTAACTTCTGTTGTATTTGTACAAATAATTTGAAAATATAAAATTGCTCCTAAATTCTACAATGTTTATGATCGTTGTGTAGCTATAACATATAGAACATGTTTACCCATTCGGCACCGCAGCCCTTTATTTTGAATACAGTCATCTTGGACGAAGTAGATATCAGCATAACACATTTCACACTGAGTGTATGAAGCATATAAAGATGAATGAAGACAAATGCCTCGAGTCAAGATGAAAAACAGGGTTCAAATATAAAAATAGAAACAAAAGGTCTGTGATGATGGAGCCTGGTCAATGTTGTCACAGGATAACGGGTCAGAGTTCACTGAAATAATCTGGACCACAGACAGCTGCTGATGACAGTTGAAGCTCAGCTCAGCCTTAAAGTAACCAAAGAGTACTTTATGGCATGAAATTTAGTAAAGTCCATGAATGGTGATTGCCCATTGTTGTATTGTGAGCGAGCAAAATGCAGGGAGGGACACAGTGGATATTGATACAAAATTTTAAAACCATACTTAAATGATCAGGAGAAGATTGGTAACAACAATGAATGCTATTATGAGTTGCTGGCGTGTATGAATTTTGACCTGAGTGTGTGTTTGGGCACTTCCATGGAAATAAGAACAAAATCAATTGAAAAAGTGACAGCAGATGAGCAACAAATGTATACACACCAGTACTCAAGGACTCAACCCCCAACACTTACTCACACACACACAGCATGTGTGCACACAGACAAATTTGTATCTATTCCTGAATGCCAACCTAGTCCATCAACAGTCTGCTCAAAGATATCTTTGAACTGTCAAGAAGATTAGTATTATCAATACTTATTAGTAAGTATTGATTGTAAATTTAAAAGACACACTGATTGATTATGATAGCATCTTCAATTTTTTCTCG